GAGCAAAACTGTGATAATTAAGATACTGTCCTGTCCAGGTAGGTTTTCTATAAATAGATCCTCTTATTGACCCATCAAGCCGTCAACTAAGTAATATGTCTAGGAAAGATAAACAATTATCTTCCTCTTCTACAGATGTAAGTGATATGCTATTCTGAACTTCATTCATTCGGCTTAAAATTGAGGTGGCAGAACAAGACTTATCACTGATTATTACAATATCATTTACATACCCTCTATAAAGTGGTACATTTTCGATTAAATCCTCCGATAAACTGTCAATGTACGACATATAGATATCTGCGAAAAGGAGCCTTAACGGACTTCCCATAGCAACACCGTCAACTTGGCGGAAACAATCGCCTTCAAATGTAAACCTAACATTGTTAGTACATAGAAGTAATAAATCCCTTAAGTAAGATATAGGATACGGGATGAAAAAAAATTGATTTATGCTTCTCTAATTATAATCGATATGTGCTTACACTGTCTAGCCGTCATGTGTTGTTGTTGTTGTTAACACAATTAGAAAACAAAACAAGAAAAAAATTAAATTGAATTTTGATGATTTATGAAACACATTCACAATATATTAAAGTAACGCCTATGATTATTATTATTATTATTATTATTATTATTATTATTATTATTATTATTATTATTATTATGTTATATTTGTCAGTTGAACATAACTGTGTTTTATGAATATTATGTTTAGGTTTCTTTGAAACATAATCCTTCCACCCCCATCTCCTTGCCTACACAGTGTGGCGATGGATGATCTATCAAATAAACAAATAATAATAATGACATTTGAAATAAATAATAGTCATTCCAGGGTCTTAGTTTTACGTTATTCATGTGGATGATGATATTGAAGCTTTGTCTATGGATATGATGGCGCCATACTCTGTTGAAAAAGTATCCCTTGACGACTGGCTTATTGATTTTTATTTCTCCTAGAATTGATGCATACAAAAATGAATGTCTTGGTGAATAATATATATGAGTATTGGTTACAGGATTTCATTATGAGCTGCTGACATCAATTAGAGAACCATTGAAAACCAGCCATAGGGGTGTATACTGAGCGGCTGTTTCGTCCTATTTTGAGATTCCTCGTCAGTACGCACCCACCACCAGGATTCCAACCAAGGACCGTCTGGATACAAGGCCAGAGTGCTCGTAGACCATTAAGCCATTGGGACCTGATCCACTGGCTCATGAATTCTAACTTTTGCCAATTCATTGTGTAACATTATAGTCAATCTGTTTAACAGAATCAGTTTATTATGGAATGCATCTGTTGTCATCTGATCAATTGGAGGCTAAACAGTAGTAGAATCTTGGTGTCACACTTCATTCATTCCATTTGGGACTCGTCCACACTGAATGTTCCCTGGTGTCGCACTGTGAATGACCGACTGAGATTCCTCTCTCAGCACCTATATAACTTCAAGCGCCAAAATGGGTTATCCACCAGTAAGTTATTGTGTCACTATAGCCCCACCACTTGTGCAGTAGATGTTGTGAGTCCGTGACTCAGCGGTAAAATCCTCCCCAACCAGTCTTCGTCCGGTACTGTATGCGTTGACATACACAACTGAGCGTTTAAAATGCTCTTACATTGAATTATTTTAAAATGTTTCCATTATTTTGGTTATCAATAATTTTGTTTGACTGAATGATTGACTAAATTTCCAGCATAGGTCATTGCATGGAAGTGGAGAGCAGCAGTTCAAGTTGTCATATTTCATAAAAGTTCACATTGAAGTAAGTTGTATCGAATAGATCATATAATGTGATCTGAACTATTTCTGTTCTCAGAATTATTATGATTTTCATTCCTTTGGATTCCGACTGAAACACTGGATCTGAGAGTACATCATCACTTTGTCGTGTTCTCTACAGTTTTCTTTAGATAGCTCAACGATTGCCTATAGGCTCTCATTGCTTCACATGACCTCCTACATGTCACTCTCGGATGCCCAAATCGCTGTTTCGCGTTCCACTACAGGGCACAGAGTGTGTGTGTGTGTGTATCCGATCCATTTCCATTTTCTGGATATTTGTGGAACAATAGATTCTTGGTTGGTACATTCCCAGAGTTTGTTGTTGCTAATTCTTTCTGGCCAATTAGATCTTCAGTTTTGAGCTAGAGAAGTCAGCCGTTTGAGTGAAGTGTGTGCAGCCTGTTAGAAAGGCTAACCCGTGGTGACACGCTTGTCAAGTTTCTCAACCATATAGAAGAAGATTGGTGTTGAAAGTTCGAATCTTGATTTTTGTGCACACTGAATACAGAGTGAGGAGAATGTCCGTCTCGCTTTTCCAATTCTTACTTTAACACCCTCATCTATACCGCCATCTGTTGATAAAACGATGCTTCCTCGATAATTGAAGGCAGTGAGCACTTTCATATCTGTTCCACTGATAGTTATTGGTACCTATATTTTTGGTTGGTTATCTTCATCACCTCCGTCTTCCTCAGTGTTCACCTGGAGTCCTGTCTCCGCTGGCTGTGACATGTGACATCAGACATGTATAATCTGCGCGAAATCCAGACCCTATAAAGCCTTCTTGTCGGTGGTTCAGAGTATTCCTGTCTTTTCACTCCCTATAGTCTGACGTGTAATCCATTACACCAGGATTAGGAATGTCATTGGTGACAATAGACGAAAGACTTCAAACAGCTCACGGAGTTATCCATTGTGAATCACTTGACACCATGACCATTGTCACATGCCTATTGAATGAAGGGTTGATGAAGACTTGAGCACTGCAAGCCACAGTGTTGAAGTAGTTTCCGAATTACTTCTTCATCGTTGAAGAACTCTGTAGAAGACGTTTCTTTCCAAAGTCAATGAAGCTGATTAAGGGATTTAACTACTGCTTCTTTGCTCTGCTGAAGATGATGCTTTTTTTTTTAATTTCTTCACGTCCGCAGTGGAACATAAGGCTTCAAGCTGGAGGCTTAAAGCGTTGGTAGCAGTAGTGTTTATTTTTAAGGGATGAGGTTGCTATCTTCATACCCCCCAGCCTTCCGTCTTTATCAGTCTTATAATTGGTTTAGCGCAAAGTAAAGGAGTACATCGGCGTAGAGTCGCAGCTTTCACAGAAAAAAAACTGCCCAAATTCCACCCTTGGACCATTTCATTTCTATATAAGGAATTTTATTTACGCAGGTATATATATATATGCTCTCTAAATAGATTTCCTAGACAGCATTTCCAACTTTTTTCCAGACTAATTCTCTTGTCAGTCACAAAATATCGATTAGATGTCTACGGGGATATGATGTAAATATATAACTGTCTGTCTAGTAGTAACTGACTCAATATGACACATAATTTTGTCTGTGTGTCTAACAAAGAATTAAAGCAGTTATACGATTGATTCTATACAATAAGTAAAATAAACTCTATGATAATGTCAAAATTAGGATATTTCATTGATGAGAGTTTCAAAATTATTCCATTGAAAGCAACCTTGTTGGCTATTTTTCATGATTTTTAGTCTAAGAGTTGATTGTCAACTTGTTAAACTGAAGGTTCGATGATGAGTCTCTGTAATATCTAAGGTGATTGACAGGCGTGTTCTCTCTCTCTCTCTCTCTCTCTCTCTCTATATATATATATATATATATATATATATATAATGTCTAGTCTCAGGTGAGCTTTATACAGTAAGAATAGTAAAGTCTATGGTATTAACGTGAAGTTAGTCTTACCACTACGCCAGTATATTAACCATTAAAGGTTATAGAATGAAAAAGCTGGAATTTCTTCTTTAGTTGAGACAAAAACCAGTTAGTGAAAGTGACTAAAGTATTGTTGGCTTGTAATTTTTTTTCATTAGCTCTTACGCCATCAATTTTGATTAGCTGTATTGCATATAGCCGTGCAAGAACGCATGAAGAGGCGTCATATGAAGCGATGACAACTAGTAGTATCTGTCAACGATGCCTAGTGTCTCCATTTGTTTGTTTATTTAATTATAAATGTACTAAAGGACTTAAACCTAACTGACTTCATCGACCCAGGAATTGTTTTTGTTTCACCTGGGTACAATCTCCTTGACTCAGGATATGCAAATGATATAGCCTTTTTCCAGGTGAAGATGCTGACAAAATACAGAGTCTTCAAAACACCTTGAGCAACAGTCTTCGAATGGTTGACACATGATTCGCTCTTGTCATATGTAAGAGATATGCGGTGAAGTAGTGATTGAGCGTGTTGACCACTTCATTGATTTGGGAAGTTTTAATCAGTTTCAATGAAATGCTTGGTGACAAAATCTCAGTACATATGACATTTGTCAACTAAAGTTATCTCGGGCGTAGATGGGTGATATCTAGCTACCGATCGAAGGACGTGTGTACTGGTCAGCAGTTCACCCCGTCCTCCTTCATGGCTGTGTCACGTGGTCGTTGGAACTGAAGGGTATGAAGTCGTATAATATGATGAGTAATATCAAGGTTAAGAGTAGTGTTACGTATGGAGGGTAGATCGGTAGATGACATTGTGAAGCCACATCAATTTGAGATGGCTTCGATATGTGTTGTGCCTGCTGAACAATCTCCTTTCTCGATGGGCAATGTTAAGATTGGGTGGGGAAATAATTCAAGGTGATCAAAAAAAACAATTCTGGAATCAATCTATAAAGTCTTTCACTGTTGGTTTCAACCAGGTAGAGAAGGTGTTGGCCGCCTGGCTGGGGTCCTCAAGATACCTAGAATCAATGGCTTGAGACTGTTGGAGATATGAGGCTCAAAATGATTGTCAGTGGCGCTGATACATTCTTTTTGCCTCTTATATCCACTGAACCATCGTATCTTGCCATGTTACTATTCTTTCTCCTTCACTTGTATTGATTTTGTATGCACATCTGCGCAAAGTTCTCTGTTGAAACTCACTCAGTCAGTCAGCCAGTGTATAACACCTTATCTTGTTCTATTTTTCATTCGTGTATTTATTTACATTTCATTCCTCTTTTCCCATTAGCTGAAGAGCACGAGAAAATTTATGAATATGAAGGAAGTGATGAAGAGGAAGAAGAGGAGACCAGTGCTGCTGCCAAAGGCGCTGCAGCAGCTGCTCTAGCAATGTCTGCCGCTGCTGCAGCCGTTGGCGGCGGTGGTGCTGGTGTCGGTGTTGGTGTTGGAGCTAATGGACAAGGACATCGTCTGCCTAATCAACATCCACCTCAGTATCGTCATCCACCGGATAAGCTGTACCCTAATCAAGTGATGCGACCCGGCGGTGGGGGTGATCATAATGAATTTGTCCCATTCACTGGAGCAGCACCACCACCATCCTCAGTTGCAGCAGGATTAAACTTTAAACAGCATACACCGGGTATTTCAGTGGATCCTAGATTTGCTGCAAGAAATCCTATGCCAACGGCAATGAATAAACTACCCCTTGCTACACCTCAATCGGGTATGCATCACAATAATAGATTATCGAGATTAGATGAAGGTGAATCAGCTACTGTGAATGCTAAAGAACCAGGTGAAAATACACTACGTCAAAATTTTGCTCGCTTACAGGTAACTTGTTGCGTGTTTCTGTATTTGAATGACTCCATAATGTCTATAGAAACGTGTACTTTAATTTGTTCTTAGAGGTTACTTTGCTGTTGTATGGTATAGACCTTTAAACCCGAGCAGTTTTCATCCACCAGGTCTAGTGTTTCATAAATAGGTGTGTGTGGGTGTGGGTGTGTTTGTTTATATCGTCAAGAGCTATCCATTGATCTATGGTTTACTGTCGGTATGCTTCACTGAATGTTTAGAAAAGTCATACTTGGGGAATGATAAACTCTGATTCTAGTGTAGGGAGGAACAACAGTTTCTGCAAGTGCCAGTAAATGTGGAGAGCGTAATGACATGTAGTCGTCACCTTTGAAATCACTGCTCATGTTATATCAACTTTACCTCGTACAAATCGTTGGTCAAGTTCTGTCACAATGATCGAGGTATGATGGTTGCTTTCATTTGTTTAATATAGATAGATAAGAATTACGTGATGCCTTATCCAACAATGAAGTTTCATCACAAAATAAGCACTTTACATCCTGTCACACGATATAATTATGTAATTATATGCATGGCTTCAAATGCTTCTTTCCTCAAATAATATGGAATATGGCGTATGCTGAGAAAAATAACAGTCTGTCGAATCAGGCAATCGCCTCTCCATTAACATCTTGTTCTTCTTCTGGTAATTCCACCTAGCTAAGAAGGCGGTTAATGTAGTAGCATCTACGGACAGTAATGCGTCGTATCGATGGCTGAATCGTAGACGGCGTGCTAAGCACACACATATCATGCTGTGGGTTCAACTGCCGACCGATGCACTCTTAAAGTTCTCTTAGCCGATAGGAAGCTTACGAAATATGTAAAATTACGCATCAGCCTATTGCAACCTCATCGCATAAAACCAACACCATCGAAGCTTAAAGCCCCCCATGTTTTAATCCGAACTTAAGCAGTACCTCATTCATTCGCATTACGACTGTACATTCTACCTGGTAATTGCAATAAAATGGTTGTGTGGTTAGCAGTTTAATATCAGAGCTCGGCTGGTCGTGCGTCGGAGTCATAGTTTCAAGATCGCTGTTTAGAATCTTGTCGTGGCCCCTCGTCCATGCAGGTTTTAGTTTTAGTTTCCATCACTGAGGATCACATCAGTAATAGTCTTCCTTCTCAAGATCACCTCAGATGATCTTAATTTTACAGTCATCATTCGCTCTGATAACTTTCATCCTCAATTTTCACCTCAGATTGATTATAACCGGTAGGTTCTGGGTTTGAACCCCTGTGTGGGTGCTTGTCTGTCTGTCTGTCTGTCTGTTTTCGACATACAACTTTGCACCAATGTGCACCAATTCAAGTCGCTTCACTCCGTCCTTGTAGCACACAAAACAGGAGAAGAAAGTAGAAGAAATGCATAATACAGACAGTAAACAGAGGTGTGAGACAAAGGAATAGTAATAACGAAGAACAATATGGTTTCACTGGAAATCATAAGTCACAAGGAGTGGATGCATGTGCCACAGGCATTGACAACGATTTTGAACCATGTCACCAATAGTTTCCAACCATTGGTTTTTACCGTCCCGAGGACCCCAACCATGAAGCCCGTCTACACCTTCCTAAGTGGCTTAAACTAACTGTTGTGGATTTCGTTGACTGGTGAAGCCATGTTTTGGTTTGACCGCCGCTAGCTCTTTTCCAGCCTGACCCATCCTATGTCAGCTAACATTGGCCGTCGGTCGAGGAAGGCGATGACTAGACATGCATACGCAACACATGTCCTAGACACCTCAGTCGATGTAATTTCACAGCCTCGTCGATTGATTTCCCCTCCTTACCTAGAACTCGACCGAGGCCTAACCTCAATATTGCTCACTTTATTATACCACTTCACACGGGAGATAGAGAGCAGGCACCTATGATCAAAGGCAGTTAATCTTTTATGTCCTCTACTCTCAATGGCCAGGTCTCACAGCTGGCCGTAAAGGAGGACGGAGCGGACTACTGAGCAGTACACACTCCCTTTGGTTGCTAGCCAGTCGGATTTCACGTCTACACCAGAAACGGCGTAAACTGGTGTATGCGAAACGAGCCCTCTCTATCCGTACTGAGATTTCGTCGGAGATCAACCCGTTGGCACTGGCTGATGGTACCTCCCAAATAAGTGAAGCGGTCAACGTGCTCTACCACTTCATTCCCCATTTCTAAACTAGGAATCAGCATGTACTTCAGTCTTGTAACATCATTTTACCTTTGGCGAGGACGAACCGCATGTGGGCGCTTACTATTGATGGGTCCCGACAAAACAGATATGGTCTCCAAATGAGATATCAATCTGTGGTCAAAATTGAAACTAACTAACTAACGAACTCTTGAAAAATTTTCATTCCAGTTTTAAATAGGCATCAATTCAGTATTGTATACTTGTTTCTTTCAAATTTGAAACTCTTCAACAAGTTCTGCTGTAGCTAATAATAATAATAATCCTTGTCAAAGTGTGTACAGTTAAATCTTTGGACGACTAAGTGTTGTCTATCATCAACCTAGTCTCTCGGAATCTATCTTTCTATAAGTCTGGATTTAATTTTCTTATGTATATATGTATTTTTTCCCAATTATTATTATTATTATTATTATTATTATTATTATTATTATTATTGAGTAATTTGAAAATGCCATTGTGCGTGTGTCAGTAGGCGATGAAGACAGATGGAAACCATAACTGTGCATGGTTAATTTATTTATATACGATATATCGTTGTTTTGCACACACAAATATCTATACATACTTAAATATTTTTGTTGTTATATATATCGAAAGCATGATTACGTCATCAAACCTCATCATCGTCATCGTCATCACTATAACTGTTATGTTGTCTTCTTATTTATTACTATGCAACTCCTTTTTTTGATTTGTGCGTGTGTATGTGTGCATTATGATTTTTTCAGTATCAGTAATAGACACACTGCATAAATTCATCAGTGTAAGATTTCTTTTCCCTTTTTTTGTGTTCAACTGGAGTTTATTTCCTTTGAATGTGATATTTTTCTTGTATGCCTGTTTTTATTTTCGTTGTTCTTCTCCCTTGTCCCTTCACTCCATTTTCTTAATCTTTGATGAGTGAGTAACTGTCGGAGAATAAAGTTCATCGACTTACCTCCCAATCTATATATACCTCAGCTTGAGCAAGTGTGGTTACTACCGTGAGCGCTTTAACTACAATTGTGACTCGTAGCCCGGTACCTGGAGCAATTGTGTCTTGTCTATGCAGAAGGTACATTTGTTCAGTGAGTGGGTTGTGGGTTCGATTCCCTTCCCACCTTATTAATTCACTTTGGACAACTAAGTAGTGTTGTTATCAACAGTCACGCAGTCAGTGTGATGCATAGTCTAGCACATGAAAAATACCTGATCCAAGATTATCGAAGTTCATACATGTAAGTATAAATGACCAATTCTAGAATTTGCTGAAGAATTTCATCATGAGCTGACATCATCGAAAAACCTGGAAGGGTTGTTTCGTCTTAGTTCTGGACTGACTCCTAAGCAGTGCGCACGCACCACCAGGTTCGGACCCAGGATCTTCTGGTTACAAGGCTAGCGAGCTCATAGACCATTCAGCCACTGGGACACGATCTATAAGTTCTAGCTTCTGCCAATTCAAATGGCATGGCGTGATCACTTCGTAATATCTTTCTTCTTCGATGAGTTTCTACCTTATCTTCAACCTGCTGTACCCAGTGCCTGAGAATGGCCTACGAACTGGCTTGCCTTGTAACCAGAAGGTCCTAGGTTCAAACCCAGTTGGGGTGGGTGCGTACTGATGAAGAGTACCGAACTAGGGCGAAACGCGCCTGTCCAATACTCTCTAGTTGTTTCACAATGGTTCTCTAACTGATGCCAGCTCATGATGAAATCCTCCATCCAATCAAACAAAATTATAGAATTCATTGAAGATGTTCTGAATAAGAAATTTTACAAAGGTGAATAATGTGAACAAATAATATTTAGTTTTCGATAAATTTGTCATCAGCTTCTATATATTTATAGGACAGTAATAATTGAGGAATTATTGCTATTAACAACATTGCTGCTGCTTTAAATTAAATTGAATAAGTCCTGTCGACAGATTACTTTTCGAAAGCATCATTAACACCCTAAACTGACTGAATATCAGATAAATTATTAAGGGAAGTAGTACAGGATTTATGAATTTTTAGGTTCGACAGTAGGTCAGAGTAGTAATAGTGGTCGGTTGGAGGACCTCTCTATTTTGGCACACAAAGCTTCAGTTACTTTATATGAATTGCAATAGACTCTGTTGTTCTAAGTGTTTGGAATCTTCTTTTGGTAATTTATTCAATAACCGGTAGATGGTAGAGAAAGATTTCCCCAGTGTTAGTTTTGTGGCCTGTTTGGATGAGGCGGTCCAATGTTGTAAGAACTGTTAGCGGTTTTAACAACACCTATTATTTAACCATACTGGTAAGTGCATTGTTTCTGAGCAGGACAAATTAAGTTCCTAGGTCGACGGTCGATTGAACTGGCTCCATAGGAGCATTAATCAATCAGTCTTTCATATCTAGTATTTTATTGATTACAGTTGAATGTTAACAAATTTAATGTACAATGTTCACTTGTTTAATGACTCACGCAAACAGATGTAGTTAACAGTCATTAACAAGTCATCTAATGTCTAGACAACTGTTCCACTCATTGTGGGGTTTCAGTTCATAAGCTGTGTGTGTATCACATTGGACTCGTATCAAACAGCCGAATCTGTTCAAATCCTCTGAATCCTACCAAAATTGTTGAACGTATAGAGAACTATTCTCAAAAAGAGAGTATACAAGCACACTGGATATACACAGGTGACGTGGATCGCATTGACCTAACAGTTGACTATTATTGTTATGTATGTCATTATAGCACAAATTTGGTATAATATGGGCACCAAGAGATGCTCCACACAAAATGTCATCTTTCTGTTGCAGGGTTGAGATACTACCCAGACACACAAACGAAATTAGGTGGTTATCTTAAAAGGCTACTCCTCGAACTCTTGACTTGAAATCCGATTCATAAGGAAGTGGCACAGCATCAAAAACTGTATTGCTATGGTTTCCGTTATTCGTTACTTTCGAATTCTAGAGACATGTACTCCATAGGTTTGCATTCAGGGTTTTTCAACTCCCTTCTGGTAGACAGACGTGTCCACCAGTCCGTTTGTAAGTGCTAGACTATTGCATTCGCCCTTTTCCACATTTGTGAGGATCACCTCCACCGTGTAAACATGTGGCCACATAAAGGGGACTTCCGAGCGCGCGCGAGAGAGAGAATGGGGACATTATGTTATAGTAATAGTAGTATTTTTTCCCTTCACGTTCCCCAGTGGAACATAAGGCTTCAAGCTAGTGGCTTGAAGTTTCTGTAGCAGTGTTTATTTTACTGGATGAGGTTACTAGCCTCATGCCCAACCTTTCCTCTTTACCAGCATTATTTCTGGCTTAGCGAGGTAAAGGAGTGCGTCGGTGGCTGGGGATCGAACCCCGGACCATGTGTATGGTCGGCGAGCGTACTAACCGCTATACTACCGATGCACTCACACAGTGATACACTCATTGACTGTGTATTGGTTTTCAGGAGAACTAAAGACACCCATCCCTGCCTCTTGATAGACGAGACCGGCATGGAGGATCATCCTGTGGTGCAACCACTGGAGAGGCTTCTCCCTCGGTGGACCAAGTAGTAGTAGTAAGTACAGATAAAATCTGATCCACTCAACCAAATTGCCTCTTGATCCATTTATAAGATTAATGCATAGTTAATTAAAGTTGAAATTATTCTAAAAGATGATAATCGAATTTCAAATTCACGTTTTTTTTTACCGTTCGTGTTCTACTGTGTGTATCTTCATGAGATGATAATGGCATATATATATATATGAATTATTTTGTTTTAGATTTCTACTCAATTATTTATTTTAAAGTTTTATGGTTTTTTGATGTGCGTTTCTCTCTCTCTCTTTCTGATTGTATGCTCGTGTGTGTGTTTATGTGTATTCACGTACTTGTCATATGAGGAGTTTTATTGCCCTTGATAGTAAATATTGTGTACTTTAAATTTTATCTTTATTATCTCTTGTAAATATTAATTTTTTTGTACGAAATCATAAACTTGGAGGTATTCCATCGAGCAAGTGTAACCTGTATTCACCTATTACTATCTGTACTAGAGTAGTTGTACTAGTAGTAGCAGCAGCGGCGGCGATAGTAATAACGCTGGGCCCACTTTATATTGTCCATTAGATCTATTATTAATGTTATACAATGTTTATACACATTTGGTCACGAGGTGAGATTAGTTAGAGAACCAGTGGCTGTTTCGTCTTAGTTTGGGTTTCTTCAGGATTGCACACACACAGGCACTTTTGGTTACAAGGTGAGGTGTCGTAGACCACATTCAACCATTGGAACGAACACACGATCCAGCCGATTTGGAACTGCTAGCCAGTATCATCGGTGAGTAATTGTTTTCTTACCTGACTTTATATACAGGATGTTACGTGGGAGTTCTAGTGAGCAGCAGTTGGGATTAGCGGGTTCCAACAAGTCAGGTAAGAGGGTAGTTAGTCGCTGATAACATTTGCGCCTGGTGGTCGCGCTATGTATCAAGAATAGGTAGAAGTTTGAATTTTATGAACCATTGGATTGAGTTGGTGTCAGTGGTTTAATGTTCTGTGGACTTGAATTGTAACCGAGAGAGAGGTCCTAGGTTCGAATTCCACTGAGTGGTTACTGTGCTAAATAGTCTTGAACTAGGATAAAACAACTGTCCACTACTCCGACGTTTTTCAATGGTTCTCTAACTGTTATCAACTCGTGATCAAACCTCCTATATCCAATCAAATTCTTGCAAATACACACTATGGTAAAACTCTTTAGAAACTGTTAGCCAACTACTTTTCATCCAATTCATGGTCCATTGAATTCCAACTCAATAGCTAAAATAATCAATGGGCTAGCCTTGAAACCTAAAGGTTATGTGCGCCTAGTCGCTGGTTATGATTAGGGTGTTATGTCAGTCCATTGCTATAGAGTCCGGCTCATTGATTTACCATGATTCTCGAACTGATTTCCGTTCCTGTCTAAACCTACATCAGAGCTAATGAAAATCCGGACGAAAAACTCAGTATATGAATTCACACAATCATTGACTGCTTGAGTTTGAATGCAGAAATGTGCACGGAAGTGTAACGCTTTATGTTGCCACACTCTATATAGCACACACAAAGGTAGAGAAAAATAAAATGCGTGTATGAGAGAGAATAATCACATGGAAGAGTATAACGACTGGTTGAATTTGAGCCGTATTTACAACAGTCTGCAGTCATTAGTTCTCAGCACCTCGTGGACTCTGAGCTCGCCAGATAGTCTGCATGTCCGTATGTCTCAATTTGTTGAAGACTTAATTGTTTCACGTGGGGTTTTGATTTGGTCACTAACATTTTGACCAGCCTAGAACTGCACTGCACCCAACACACCTATCTGATGAATAGGGTTTCGACATCAGTCCTCCAATCGTAATTGAGTTTTTCAAAAGTTTTATCCAATATGTAATGTGGCTAAACAGCGGGACTTGATGGAATGATTCCACAGATGTGTTTGAGGACTGTGATGATAACATATTTTCAGGTTTATCTAAGATATTAGGTAATATCTAGGAATCAGAGATATTTCCGTTAGACTGATACAAAACCCCTGAAAATTTACGTAATGATTTCATACTAACATGAATGGCCAATTTATGTCATTACTGTGTTAACGTATCATATCCGTTCTAATGAAAACATGCATCACTAACTTCAAATTGAGTGTCTAGTTAACATGCGTCTATTGACGTGAATAATGGATAAGCATATGCTATGCACCAGCGAACCTTTAAATGCTGCTTTTTTCTTTCTTACCTCTGATTATGTAATCTCATGAGTAGGCGCACACATTTGACAGACTGAACTCATTCCATCTTTATTATATATTACGTTGGATGTATCATGTATTTATTTCGTCTCCAATACTCTCATGTTGTAATTTCATATTATTAATTGTGTTTTTCATTTAGATATTTATGTAGTCTTAAGTGTTGTCAGTGTCCTTTTTTGTATATACTCCATTTCACTTACATTTTTGTCTCCTTAATCTATGTACACCTGTTCACTCACTGGGACGTCTTCATAGAATTGCCTTACACATTTTATCATCATTTGTTTAGTTGGTATTTAATTTGTAGATGGTGACTAGCAGTGGAATCCAGAATAAAGCGCATTTCATCCTATTTGGGACTCGTCAACTGGATGTACCTGCATTTCCCAGTGAGTGATGATAGAACGAAATACGCATCCTGGATTCCACTGCTAGTCACCGTCCACAATTTAAATTCTAACTAAATGCGCAGACATCGTTGAAGCATCTGCACAAGAAGCTGACATGTCAACCTGAGACCGATCACTTCCGTCCAGTCAATCGACGGGAAAATTTCAAATTCAATTAAATTTGTTTAGTTGGTTTAGAGGTTCCTAATGAAATGAAATTAAAATATCTATTGGGGAAAAGCCGGTTATAATGACATCTAACTTACTAATTCTTTCTTATCTCTGTGATGTATTTGTTAATAATCTACACGTTCATATGTTACACGAAGTTGTATCTGTGTGTACGAGTGTGTATACCTGCGTGTTTGCTTGTGTGTGTGTGTTTGTGTATAAATAACTAAATTCATTTATCATCCTTCATCCTAGGAACGTGAACATCATCCAGCTGTAGGTGTTGCACCTCAACGATCTGTCGTCGTCAATGGACGCCCTCAATCTTCATCTGGTCATCATCATTTCCCACAACATTCACGACCATTATTAAACAATAGTCGTGCTCCACCTGTCTATAGTCAGTCACAGCATCATCATCAGCAACAACAACAATCACCACAACAACAGCAACAACAAATACATTCAAATCAACCGAAATTGGGTGTTCTAGCTGCTGGAAGTCGTTTAGCTGGTGCTGGTGGTCCATCTCCTTTACCTTCACATAGCACTACTTCCTCTACTGTTATTACTACGACTACGATGACTACTACGTCTACAGTATTGGATACAACATCTGTAGATAGCCAGTTTGTAAACAACAGCAACAGTGAAAGTGTTTTTACCTCGTCCTCGATTAATTCTGTAAATCCACCGACATCGGTTATCAGTGGTGCTGGTGTTGGTCAGCCTCCGCATCATTTCCCCCTACAACATCATAGAGCATCCGTGGTTAGTAGCATCGTTGTTGTTGTCGTTGTCGTTGAAAATTTCATTATTTTAAAACTAAAACATAATATGCTTTATCTGTTACTACGCATGAATATCTTCTCTCCACGTCTTTTTTTCATGCTGCAGTTTACCTCTTGAGGTTCTCTATTTAATCACTTTTATGACTAATATGATCATTACATGCTTTCGTCGACAGATGAATCTGTGTATTTCAGATCTGAAATCACAATCTATTCGAAGTCATCTACACCTTTGGATCTCTAATGACTAATGTGTGATAAATGATCCAATGGTTAATCAAGTTTAAGTTCTTTGTGGAAAGTGAATATGAGATGCGAAGTACGACGTTTTTTTATTCTGCAGCTAATTTGATACGGTAGCGAAATAGGATACATCGTGAAATTCTGTCATCTGTTAGTATTGAATGGTCGCTGGCGACTAATCAATTTTCATACATCTAGTCTTTGGTATGTGGGTTCCTATTGAGTCCTTCCAGTCAAGTCGACAATGTCGTCACATAATCAGACGATTAACGTTCGTGGTCCTTTAGGAATGAACATATGAGGTGGTTGGAACCACCATACTGTAAATAATTGTCATCGCATTTATTATTTTTACTCGTCCGAAATGAACTGTAATGCGTTATCTCTCTCTCTCGTTCTTCTCTCGAACTGAACTAATCATCAGCTGTTGTTGTAAGGCGGATCGTATCAACATGTTTTCCATTTATATTTACATTTATTTCTTTTATTGAATGGTTAATAGTATTGGTGTGAATTCCCTTTGTGAGGAGGTGGACTGATTGGTCCCACATGCTAGACTTTCAGCCAATGAGTATTCGATTCTAATCCTTCTGCTGCACCTACTTCAGCTTGATCATCATCTGGTTGTTATCGTTGTTGTTTGAACTTGAATCCGGGAATAGGTCTTTCAGGCTCCAGACTATGAATGAGCGCCACACTTATTGTGTAAGGGTTGGTGATACTACTCATTTGTGGGAATCGAACCCAGGACTAACTGACTGGAATTCGAGTGCTGAAGCCAGTAAGCCGTGTCTCCACCGGTTAGGATATGTGTTACATATGCCTACCTAGCCATCGCCTTCCTCGACGAGAATTGTTAGCTGACATAGGATCAAGTTAGAAAAGACCTGGCTAGTGGTGGTGATCAAACCAAAACGGGGCTTCATCAGTCAATGAAATCCACAACAGTTAGTTTAAGTCAGCCATGTAGGGAGATGTAGACTTCTTGGCTAGTTGGGTTCCTCCGAATGGTAAGAACCAATGAAGGCTAGAGATAATCGGTGTTATGGCCCAAAACCGTTCTCGATGTTGGAGCAGATTCGTTCACTCCTTGTGAATTATAATACCCAATAAAACTATATGGATCTTCGTTACTACTATTCTTTTTGCTTCATATCTCTGTTTACTGTCTCTATTTTGCATTCCTTTTTACTTTCTTGCTGTGTGTGATACATGGAGTGTGGCGACTCGAACTGCTGCACATCGGTGCAAAGTTCTATGTTGAAACCAGTCAGTCTGTCAGCCACTGGTAAGGTAGTATCAGTCATCAGCTGTCATGTTTTAACTGCGACACACAGGCTTGTGCATAAGAAATCTGTTCCGGGTAACTGAATTCCTGACATGTAATTGTTTATTCCTCACTGATGAGTACACCACTCTGGACGAAATTGATCTGATTCATCATTTTGGCAATATGGATTCCACTGTTCACTTCTTATATGTATGTTAGATTACTTCAAAACCAAGAGATCTGTTAAGTGTAGACCGTGTATCAAAATACGATGGACTACAAGGTGGTCGACACTACACGCTTGACACTAGTTACAACTTGGTATCCAACGAAAATATCCATTACAGTCTCCTTCGGAGGAGGTCATTCGTGAGCCAAAGCATCTCAGTGTTGACTCCTATGACTGTAGTCACTGGATTACGCGGTTTCGAGTCTCAGAAGGGATACAGAATTTCTTCCAGACTGTAGATATATACCTCTTCCTGATTGACTGGTGAGTGCCAAGAAACACGAATCCAAGGTCTAAGGTTTGCTGACGATTTTCTCCACCTTAGTAATCACACCAGTTCTAAGTGCACCGGGATGTTGAGTCACCTATCATAGTGGTCACATTGCCGAAATTCACTAATAGAACTCGATCTGCACCAACACATTCAACGGCTAGACGCATGACATCAGTCGCTACCTAGTTTCCAATCAGATTAAATCTGTAGGTATGTTGTTTTTTGTATGTATAGTTTTCCAGTCACTTTCATTTCATTTATGAAAACTTACACAAGAAATCAAAACATAGGTAACCTGACTAGCCTTAATCAGATTATTACTATCACTATTTATTTTTTATTTTTGATTACAACTTGATTCCACACTGTATTTTTGGTACAAGTATGGAATTTTCAGCATGGATATCGGTAGCCCAAATTTTGCAGGCCGACCATAGATATCAGGTGTGCATCGGCAGGGGATCGAACCCTGGACCATGTGCATGGTTGGCGAGAGTCCTAACCACTGTGCCACCGACGCACCAAAATGCTTGTCACCGCCTCGAGGGTGGAGACGAGATGAGTTGGTGTACCTGGGCATCGATCCCAGTACCTCTCGCATGCTAAGCGAGCGCCCTACCATTTGAGCTAGTACTCACTACTACTACCACTACTACTACTCCTGTCTGTTGTGTAATGAGTGATTATCCCCCTGACCTTAACGCGAGGACACATACTGTTTAAGTAATTGTTTTTTATTTATTCATGCATTCATTCTATTGCTGTGAACATGTAATTATGTTTGTTATTATTATTATTATTATCTATTAACTATATAACAACCTGATATCTTCTGATAAATTTTTTATCATGGAGAGTAGAATATGTATATAAAGTTTCAGGATTTCTTCATGAGCTGACATTAGTTAGAGAACCATTGGAAACCATCCAGGGAGTACTGAACAGCTGCTGTTTCATCCTAGTTTGGGACTCTTCATCAGTACCCACCCACCGGGATTCAACCCAGGACCTTCCGGTTACAAGGCGAGCTCGTATACCATTAAGCCATTGGGACCCGATCCAATGGTCCTTGAATTCTAACTTCTGTCAATTCACGACATAGCGCGACCGCTAGCCAATGTCTTCGGTGAGTATTTGTCCTCACACCCGACCCGCTGCACCCTACTGGTCACGACTTCCCACAGCTGTCCAGTACTCCCAGGTTTTCCAATGGTTCTCTAACTAATGTCAGCTCATGATGAAATCCTGAAACCAATCAAATCCCTACAAACCAACAGTTAAATAAAGTTCGCTAGATTCTTCAATTCATTCACAATGGCTTGTCGACCTCTTTTGCTCTTATATATATATATATATATATATATATATATCATGGAATAATTAATGACTACACTTATTTTTTTCCGGTTGAATAACTTCCAGGACTGTTGTGTGACTAGAAATGCTGTTAAACGGTGATTGACAATGAGATAATAACCTCTGATCAATAGTTTTTATTTTCTAGGCTATTGGTATTGTAGGCCTATTTTGTTTGACTGATTTAGGGAGGATTTCTCCAACTGATGATGAAATCCTCCAACCAATCAAACAAAATTCCCATGCAAAATCAATACTAGAAAATTGATTTGATGCTCACTAGCGACTGGCCACCTATTCAGGTAGGCAGTTACCTGGGATTCTAGTGGGAAGCCGTGACCAGTAAGGTGCAGCAAGTTGAAGGTGAGGACGATTACTCTTCGAAGAAGACATTGCGAATTAGTTGCGCTATGTCAGTAATTGGCAGAATTCATGGACTTGCCTTTGGATCGGCGGATCCCAGTGGCTTAATGGTTTACGAGCTGGCTTGCCTTGCAACTAGAAGGTACTGGGTTCGAATCCCGTTGGTGGATGCGTACTGCTGAAGAGTACCAAACTAGGCTCTCCTTTATGGTTTTCCAATGTTTCTCTAACTGATGTCAGCTCATGATGAAATCCCCCAACCAATTTCTGTTCTAATTTTGAATGATTTAGCTGTTTGAATCAATTCTGTTACAAAAAATATAAGGAAAATGCTAAATGTTTGTCTAGTTTTTTCTAGTGATCGAACAAAATATGATGTGACTGATTGACTTTCCAGTCTGCCACTACCACACACACACACACACAATAAGCATAGCTCATAGCCTGTCTGACAGACGAAGCGTTTGTCGGGGACCAGCTCAGTTCTCACAGTATGTTACTTCATAAATTATTTGGTTAAGCTCATTTTTATTGAAGTTCAGTGTTTATAGTTGACTAAGGGCAGATAATGGGAATTACTGCTATATATACATATAAAGCCTTTATAACCAATCATGAAACTATTATAGTTTTAGATATATTGCCATCTAAACTTTACATGTCATTGCATTTTCCCTGTAGTTCCTGTTTGACTGGGTTTTTATTGCTTGTTCGTTTCACTCAATTTCATTATCTCATAATTTTATACATTTATGCTATTGGAGAAAAAACTACCGATACTGATTTCATAATCTCAACTTTTCACTATCGTACAATTCATTGATGTTATTTGTAGGAAATAAGTGTGTTAGTCAGATGAAACTCAGTTACTACCTACCTACCACCCAGTTAATTACCCTGACTGACTGAAGTTGGTGGCATGGGGTTATTTTAAAACTCAACATGTACATTACCTGCATTGTTTGTCTGTGGTTCAGTGATAGATTATCCTCCAACTAGACATGTAGCCTGGGAGTTTGATTCCTAGTCGACGCACTCCTTAACACCCTGCTTATTAACCGGTACAGTAAGCCTAGTAGAGAAGAAAGGTTACGCGTAAGACTAGCAACCTATCCCCACCCCATCCTACCCCGCGTAAAAAAGGAACACCAGCGCTAAGTTCTTCTCGGTGAGTTAATGATTGAACAGAAAATTGTCTGAAAGTGTCTTATTACGTAAGTTATTCTTGCGTAAGTTATGAGGGGGAATGGTTCTGAGTAATACTAATAGGCTTATTTCATTCTAAACTATTGATTTTATTCAATTTATTAATTGAGTATTAAATTCACAGGCTTTACTAATCTCTTGTTGAGTTAAACGTACAATAACACCACTGTCTGGCATCAAATCCTTTAAACAGTGAGAATTAGTACAATTCTCGACAGAATGTCTGCGCAGTACTTTGTTGTTGTTGTTGTTTTTCATTCTTTTACTTTCCTAGTCGGGCATGGGGCTTCAAGCTTCTTGGACTTTAAAGTTTCGGTAGCAATGGTGTTTATTTAACGGGATCGAGTTACTAGCCTCATGCCCGACCCTCCCTCTTTACCAGTCTTATTACTGGCTTAGAGAAATGAAGGAGTGTATCCCTGGCTGGGGATCGAACCCCGAACCAAATGAGGCATGGTTGGCGAACATTCTACCATTGTGCCACCGACGCTCAGTATTATAATCGAAGAAAATTATTACACTTAGGTGATATTGCTTGTAAAAGTGCTAAGGCATATGAAACCTCTACTGAAGAGTTCATTTACGTGACATTTTCTGATTTAACTCTTTTTTTTCATTGACACTTTGAAGTCTGCAGCACAGTTATGCAAAATCTGTCATCAGTATACGATAATGATAAATAGCTTGTGTTCAGAAGAATATTTTATATTTTTATAGGTTTGTTTGTGTCTGTTTGCGTGTGTGTGTGTGTGGCTTTGATATATCCTTACCCCCCTCCCCACAATTTCTCCCCTCTCTTGTCTCCATTTTACTTGTCTCGTTCATTGCGTAGTATTCGCTACTCGTAGTAATAGCAGTATCAATATTGCTCTTGTGTTATGATGCTTCTTAGATGGAATTCAGTCTTCATTTCTATTGTGTCTTGAATTTTAATTAATTAATATTGATAGGTTTGATAAGACTAGTTTAATAATATTTGGGCAAATATGTTTAATAAACACAGTCTTATCATACTTTTTCTTATATTCCTTCCCCCCTCCCCTCCGTCGCCTTATTTCTTTATTACAAACTGTAGTCAAAATGGTGACTACCTTTGCAAATTAGCAGTAGACTAACTAAATTGTAACGAAGTGGCGGGAGGGGGGCTACTTTAATTCTTCATTGAATCAAATGTTCTTCTTAAATTGATTTGAAGAAGATATTGGATGAACAATAAAGTGAATCAGTCAATCCTATGTTGATCCTTTTGTCTTTTACAAATGATGAGTGAATATGCTTCACTTAGATGGTATTTAGATAATGATTAGAATTTACATATGCTAGCCATCAAAAGACATTACCCTCCCTCGCTCATATATCGCCCGCCTCACGGCATACAGACAACCATGGACATTAACTCAACTGGTGGAACAACCAGTGTTCAAATATTAGACGGAGGAAACACGAAGAATGCTAGAGAATTTTTAAAAGCCCGCTTGGCATTCCAGTGAATCATCAATCGAGATAGACAAAATTTATTAACCGATAAGAAAGAAACTTTACATAGACAAAGGGTCAAAGTTCAAGTCAAAGAAACAATCAACACCAATATGAGTAGCCACCTAGAGGGTGTGAAAACACACAAAAACAATCAATCACGTCCAAGGCCACCATCACTAATAAACGTGTGAAGAAATCGAATTGAAATATGGGCACTAAAGATGTCGCCTAGTAGGAGGCAATGAAAGCTTCGCAACATCTTCTGCTACGCGGATAACTTCAAAATGGTGGAGTGGGCTATTACAATTCTCGATGAGTGTAATAATTGTCTTTTTTAGGAGATTTTCGTCCTCCGTAGTAGAGTGATATTGATTATTTTATGTTGGACTGATATTTGACCTTTCGCCCAATACAAATTAGCAGGAAGATAAGAAAATCTCTATAGACAAGTAATCAGATTCACGTTCTTCAGGCGATAGACGGTAGTTCCACTCATCGGAGATTCTAAACTGCTGAATTTGTTCCATTATAGATAAGATAACTGTAAACACTGTGCGATTTATCAAAATAAAATCTTATCTATAATGGAATTATACTCTACCACAGTGCCCAAGTTTTATACTTATATGCTGAATTTGTCTTTGTAGTTAGCATTCAGCTCAAAAAGAACACAACTACACCAGAAATACCTTTCACCTATAGCTACACACCTTCCCAGGTGAAAACTCTTGCAGAGAACCGAACGAAATAGAGACGCGCGGCTGAAGCCCTATTCCTCTAGCAATTAGAGGAAATAATAATACACACCTTGCCTATCATATCCAAATAGAAAGTTTGTTGGCACTATAGAGGTCGACTTTTGGGGACTAGTCAGATGTTGGTTGTCTAACTGTAATAAACTAACTCATTTGTGTTTTTTTCTCTTTCACGTTCCCCAGTGGAACATGGGGTCTCAAGCTAGTGGCATGGAGTTTCTGTAGCAGTGTCTAATTTTTACAGGATGGGGTTGCTAGTCTCATGCCCAACCTTTCCTCTTTACCAGCATTATTTCTGGCTTAGCGAGGTAAAAGAGTGCGTCCGTGGCTGGGGATCGAACCCCGGACCATGTACATGGTCGGCAAGCGTCCTAACCGCCGCTATGCCACCGACGCATACTCATTTGTGTTAAAAGCAACTTTATGAACTCTCTCTCCGTTGTGGTTGATATCATTTTCTGTTGGGTTTTTTATTTCTTCTGGAAGTATTTTTCCATTAAAAAAAAAGGAGTTGTCGCTCATTGGTTGATCCATAGGTGTGCTAGACTTCCAGCCAAGTGAGTCAGTGGGTTCTGACTGACTGAAATTGCAAATGATTGTTGAGTAGCGCTACTATTTCGCTCTTTATCCTTAATAAGCAACTCTGTTTTATTCTGAAATTGTGTAATATTATAATGAGATTATAGAAGTAGAATGATTGAAAATCAAAATTTACTTAGATTACATTTTTACTTGCCTCTCTGTATTATACATATTATTATGATTTTTTTTTTAATTTTTATTTTGTGCATGCACATTAATCAACAATCACTTTATTTTGTTTGCCTTTGTGTTTTTGTTTCTTATTTATTACAACTGCATGATTAATTTTTTGGCCTATCGCATGTTGCTGCTGTGATCATAATTATGATGATAATAATAATTATAATACTTACGACATTACGTCCAATATTCACAGTCCAATCCTCCTTTCAATCCTTTTCATCTCAATGTAAACGCTGCTGTTACATCATCATCATCAATGGCGGTAACTTCTTCATCAAATGATCCTATGACGGCTGGTAATTTACTTGTATCACCATTTCGTGCAAAACTTGCCAATCCTGGTCCACCGCCTGTCCCATTACATCAGCAGGTTCGTATTGGTAGCAGTGTATTGAATGGTGGAGTAGGCGGAGGAGGAGGCGGACATGGAATCGCTGGTGGTGGCGGTGGTGTGTCAGTATCTGGAAGTAGTAGTAATGATGAACCAGCCAATCCACTGGTTGCCAGTTCCCGGCACCAGCATATAGTTGCACCGAAATTTCCGTCTGCTCGTCCAACAAGTCAGGTTAGTATTCAGCGTCTTGTTTTTTTTTAATTTGATGTATATGTCCTCTGAAATGATGTTTCTACTAGAATGCTATCTCTGGCGTAGACGTGATATCCGGTTGGCTGTCGACCAAAGGGCATGTCTACTGCTCAGCAGTTCACTGTATCCTCCTTTATGATTGTAAGACCTGGCCACTGACAGTGGAAGACATCAAAAGACTAGCTGTCTTTGATCATAGGTGTCTGCGTTCTATCTCCCGTGTAAAGTGGTATAATAGGGTGAGCAATATTGAGGTTAGGCGTCGTTCGAGTTCTAGGTAAGGAGGGGAAATCAATCGACGAGGCTGTGAAATTACATCGACTGAGATGGTTAGAACATGTGTTACGTATGCATGTCTAATCATCGCCTTTCTCGACGGCGGGCAATGTTAGCTGACATAGGATGGGACAGGTTGGAAAAGAGTTAGCTAGTGTTGGTCAAACCAAAATACGCCATCATTCAATCAAATCCACAACAATTAATTAAAGCCAAGTAGGGAAACGTTGACTAACTTCGTGGTTGGGGTCATCGGAATGGTGTGCAAATCCCGGTCGACATACTCCCAAGCCTTGCTAAGCTGGTAAAATCAGGTTGCAAGTGAAACTAGTGACTGAAACTTCAAAGCAGAAGTTTGAAGCCCTATATTCCTCTAGGAATGGAAATGAATAAAATAATTAATAATAATCATTGGTGAAACGCCACATTTGAGTATTTGTTTGAATTAACTGTGTGTGTTTTTTTTACAAAAATTTCCTATTTTGTATTTTCTAGGCTGTACCACATTTAGATCTTCGAAAACCACCCTTAGAATCAGCTTTACCCCAATCAATTATCACTGCAACGAATGCAGTTGTCAGTCAATCGAAATTATCAAACAATGTTAGTATATCTAGTCCTGTTAACCGGTCTAGTGGAGCTGCGATGGCTTTCGCCGCCTCAACAACAACAACAACATCAACAGCTGCTGCCGTCACTACTACTACCACGACTACAACAGCTGGTGGAGTTTTCAATGGGAATTTTATACGTCAGTCAATAGCATCACATTTAACTCCTGGTATGCATAATCGATCACCTGTACATCAGATATCTTCAGCTGATGAGAACGGTTAGTTTACTGTAGTGTCTACATTATTATTTATCATTGTTTCCTTTAGTTCCTAGAGGAACATGGAGCTTCAGCCGAACGTCTCCATTGCGTTCTGTTCTCTGCCAACGTTTTCACTTGGCTCCACATCTGCTCACATGCTTTCATTTTCGCTTCACATGACTTCCTCCATGTTACACTCACTCTGATGACCAACTCGCCACTTCCCGTTCGGGTTCCACTTGAGTGGTGGCCTAGCATGTGATGTCACTTGATAGTTTGTTTTCTCAGAGTATGGCCAATCCACCTCTATTTCTTTATGCATATTTGTTGCACAACTGGTTCCTGCTGGGCTGGTTTGCTCATTGTCAGAGATCCCTCCCTATTCCTGATTTTTTCTGGCCATCTGATCTTGTGCGTCGGTGGCACAGTGGTTAGGACTCTCGCCGACCATGCACATGGTCCGGGGTTCGAGCCCGCACCGACGCACATCTGATATCTATGGTCGGCCTGCAAAATTTGGGCTACCGATATCCATGCTGAAAATTCCAAACTTGTACCGAAAATACAGTGTGGAATCAAGCTGTAAATCAAAAAAAAAAGTATTGAACGAAGACAGCTGTTGATGAAGGTCTTTAGTTTGTTCGAAGTGTCCTTCGTGACGCGGTGTCAATTCTCAGTATAGTAACATATCAAATGAGAATTATATGTATTTATAACAACACCCAAAGATGACAAAACAAAAGCGCCTTTAGGTATGATATCGGCACAAAGCAATCCATAAACCTTGGTCCTTTGCTTATTTTTGTGTACGATTCATCAGTAAATGTTTGTTTGCAAAAGCCTGAGGGGTTCGTTTTGATGAAATCAGTCCTTAGATGGTTGCATTTTATCGGCCAGAAGCCTTGGACCTATGTTTCGTGCTTGTTGACACTCGTCAGCAAGGCCTACCTGTAATCTTGAAGCAACACTTATGTCTCTTCTAAGGTTTGAACTAGATTCACTTGCTACTGCAGTCAAAGACGTTACCACTAAGCTATTCGGCCTCTCTACTGACCGACTGTAAGAGTGTAATAGCTACTTTGATTAGACCCAAGGCGTGTGGCCCTCAGTGTTAGCGTAGATCGAATTCTGACTGACTGACTGACTGTATTCAACATAGAACTTCGCACCTTTATGTAGCAGTTCGAATCGCCACACTATATGCAGCAAACAAAGCAAGAAAATAGAATAAAGGAAGACAATGAACAGAAGTGTGAGACAAAAAAAATAGTGATATGGAAGAATAATAAGATTTTATTGGATATTATAAATCACAAGGAGTGGATGCATCTCAGTCATCACTGAGAACGATGAGTTTGAGCCATATCATCAACTGTCTCCAGCCTTCATTGGTTTTTACCATCGTGAGGAACCCAATCAGGAAGCCAGTGAGTCTACATCTGCCTACATGGTTGACTAAAACTAACTATTGTGGATTGCATTGACTGATGAAGCCATGTTGGTTTTGTTTTGACCACCACTACTAGCTCTTTTTCAACCTGATACACCATGTCAGGCTAACATTGCCCGTTGTCGAGGTAGGCGATGGCTAGACAGACATGTGTAACACATATTCTAACCATCTCAGTTGATGATGTCACCTCACAAACTCGTCGATTGATTTCCACTCCCACCTACCTAGCTAGCACTCAACACCTTACCTCAATATTGATTGAAGTTAGATTGATTTCTATCAATTAAGTTTGTGATGTGGCCACTGTGCTAAGTGGCCTGACATTACGGTTCACTCAGAATTCTTGTTATAAGATGGTTGAAAGCAATAAATATAGGTTATCCCACTGGGCTATCTCTTTAACCTTGATATCCATTGTTTCAAACTACAAAAGAGGGTTGTCTTAATGGGAGGAACACCATTACTCGTCGTCGGATGTGTATTCACATCCACATGACACCAGTCCAGAGTAGAGTGGAAATGCACATTATTCAATTCCATTGATAGTTAGTCAGCTATCAATCAAATTACACCATATTTACATATTCTAGGCATCTTTGTCCTAGAAACTGTTATGTTTGCATAGAGAGAGGCCTGGCACTTCAATCGGATGAAAATCATTTCTCATATACTTGTGAATAACAACATATATATATATGCCCTTTTTTCTAGCATTAAAGTTATATAGTTTTACTATGTGACGAATTTCACAATTATGTTCAAAGTGTCATAAATCTGTAATTTTGTATATTGTCGGCCACACTTGTATATGTGTGTTTGTGTGTGTGTTCACATGTATGCAGGTATCTGCTTTCATCACTGTCCATCATTTCAGTAACTGTGTGATTTTGATAAACACCATTATTATTATTATTATTATTATTATTATTATTATTATTATTATTACCGTCTAATGTTTATCACAAGGCTAATTGAAATCACCATGGTAATAAGTCAGTTATAACACTCAATCATAGTTACCTTCGCCAACATGCTATTACTATCTGTGTACCTTTAATAGGTGATGTTTAACTAGAAAATATGTTAATTTCCCAGGGTTAGTTTGTAAAAATTCGATTTGTGTTTCAAGTTTGAACACGAGCTGTATGATATGTCTTCTGTTAGTCAGCGAACTATTGGAAAACCACTAGGGAGTAAAACTGACAGCTGTTTCATCCTATTGCTTGGATTTCTTTATCAGTAGGCACCTACCGCGGGATCCAAACCCAGCTGATATTGTAACTGGGATGGCTTTGGATGCGCGTATTCCTCTGTGGTTTTCAATGGTTCTCTGGCTGATGTCAGTTCGTAATCAAACTTGAGAAAAATATTAGATTTCATGTTTAAGCAATTCAATCAATATACGTCTATATCTAGCTGTTAGTTGCTAAGTGGTAACTAGTCATGTAACGACAGAAGACAACAAGGGTCAGGCAACATGATCGTTTATTGAGAAAATCAGCTAAAATTTATAGATTTTATGTACATTATTATTCGTTATTTGTTAGCACAGAAGCAACGTCTTCTGATTGGTTGTTGTTTTCCTGCTTAAGGTTATTCTGTCATCTCTTTGTTGACGTTTTCTTCTTAGACAGTCCGGTGATATATCTGAGAATCGTATCTGCCCACGTTAAGTCTACTGTGATTGGTTGTTAAGATCCTGACGGTTAGGCTTTGTTCTTGTTTTTTTGCTTCTCATGAGCCCGATTTGAGATGTAAACAATGACATCAATTGTTGTCTACAATTTTGTCTTGCAGACAGCTGTCACCACAGTTATGTGTAGCCATTTCACTCCGTTGAGTATTATTGACTGAAATTTATTCATTAGATAGATGAGTGATATATAGTCATTTAGATAAATGGGATAATGGGTACATTGGTACACTGTAACTTTAGTTTTATCTGTCAAGATACCCTGCACGATTTCTATTTTCTGCTTGGTCGTGGTTATCAATAAAATATATCTGCACCTTTTGAGGGGAAAAGCGGCTATTCTGTTCAAAAGAACTAAATTGTCTAGGCATGCTGATCGAAATTGAAGAAAACTTTTTAAGTGTTTGTTTTGCAATGATTTAAGTGATTTCAATTTCGATGACGAATCGATGTTAGTTAGAGAACCATTGAAAAACTACCAGGGAGTACTGGTTAGCTGCTTCGTCCTTGTTTGGGACCCATAATCCCCCTTCACCTCCACCTCCGGAGATTAAACTCAGGACCTTCAAGTTACTAGGAGATCTCGAACTGAAGTCCATTCCTTATCAAAACTAAAATAAATCAAGTCATTAGAAACCAACACTTGAGAGTTAATTTAGTCCTCACTAGTGACTCACTGCAGGATAAATTCACTTTGAGTTCTAATGGGATATCGTGACCAGCGAGATCCATCAAGCTTGTGGGAGGAAAGGGTGGAAAGAATTGATGCATACGGATAACATTGGTTGAAGGTCGCACTATATTTCTAATCGGTAAAAGTTAGGATTGATAGGCAATTGGATTCTCTCTCAATGACTGGATGATATACGAGTGTGCCGTGTAACTTAAAGGTCCTAGTTTCGATCCTTAGGGGTTGTGAATGAGTTCTTCATAGGAGTCCCGAATAAGGACGAACAGAGCTGTCCATTTCTCTCTGGTGGTTTCACATAACTCTCTGACTTGAAACAAATGTGATTTAAAAGAATAATTAATGAACAAAGAATTTTATTTTCGATAAATTCGTCATCAGCTTCTACATTTACATGACAGTGGTATTTAAAGAAATATTTTTAAAGCAACATCAGTTATTATTATTACTGTTCCCTTGGGTTCCTAGTGGAACACAGGGCTTCAACTGCACGTCTCAACTTGCCACTTCTGTCTTCCTTCTTCTGTACTTTTCACATCCATCCATGTTAGTCCATACTGTTTCAACTCCTCTCTCTTCACACGATCTCCTCCATGTCACCCACCCTTGCACTGACGTCCCACTCGCCACGTGCTTCCCTTTCGGCCTGGTTTCACTCGAGGAATGGCCTGACGTGCGCGCGATGTCACCCAGCGGTCTCCTCAGCCAGTGACCGATCCATCTCCACTTTCTCCTGCATATTAGTTGGTTGGCGATTGGTTCTAGTTTTGTTTGTTCCCAGCCATAGTTTCTTGTTGGTGATTCTTTCCGGCCCGGCCATCTGATCTGATCTTCAGTATAGAGACAGCGAGGACAGTTGTTGGTTGATAAAGGTCTGCAACAGGTTGTTGGAAATATTCTTTGTGACCCGCCCGTCAAGTTTCTGATGCATATAAAAGAGCTGATTGACTTGACGTTTGTATCGAAAATCCGACCGAATTCTGTTGTTGATGGTGGCTGAGTGACGAAGATTTCCAGATTGGTTTCAGTCAGGTTGATGAATGTGTTTCTCGCCTACCTTCCCGATTCTCGCTCGATTTGACATCCTCGTCCTTTCCGACTGGCTGTAGTTGAGGTGTGATACTCCCTAGATAAGTGAATGAAGTAACCTCTTTCAAATCCCTCCCGTTGTGATGGTGATTAGTGCTGGATGTTTCTGCTGCAGTTGTTGTTGTTGTTTGGTTATTTTCATAACCCCCGCGTCTTGTCTATGTTCCCATGGAATCTTGTCTTTGCTGCTTTTCCGATCAGCAAAGCAACATCAATTCTGTTTTAAATTACTTTGAATGAGTAGTATCGATAGATTACATGTCAAAAGTATCAGTAAAAGTGAGTTAATGTACATTAATATAACAACACTAAACTGGATACCAGATAAGTTAAGGGAAGGATCACACAGAATTTATCAATGTATTGGTTCGACAGCATGCCAGGGTAGCGACAATGCCTACATCCAATCAAACAAAATCCCTGAAAAACTAATACCTGAAAAATTGATCTGATGCTCACTAGTGGCTGGCCCCTGTTCAGGTAGGCAGTTACCTGGGGTTTTAGTGGGAAGTCGTGACCAGTATGGTACAGCACAGGTTGAAGGTGACGACAGTTACTCATTGAAGAAGACATTGCGAATTGGTCGCGCTATGTCATTAATTGGCAGAATTCATGGACTGGCCTTTGGATCGTGTCCCAGTGGCTTAATGGTCTAAGAGTTCTCTGTCTTTGTAACCAGAAGCCCCTGGGTTCAAATCCCGTTGGTGGGTGCGTGCTGATGAAGAGTCCCAAACTAGGCTTACGAAGCAACTGTCCAGTACTCCCTGCCGGTTTTCCAATGGTTTTCTAACAGATATCAGCTGGTGATGAATCCCGCAGCCAATGGAATTCCTGCAAACCACTGCCACTGACGAAGAATAATTTAGCCTAAGAGAAAAATTCGTCTTGACTGGATCAGCAAATGAAATTAGAAGTATCTCTAAGATTACCGCTTGTAACAATCATAAATTCGCAAACCGTACACAATACTTGTATTTCTAATTGTAAGCTATGAACATATACAAAAATAAACCATTCGGTTCTGCATAAAATAAAGATGATAAATTGACAAATATCAACAGGAAATAGTTGAAATATTTATTTATATTTTGAATAAATGTTTACTTCATCATTTTGTCCTTTTTTTCAACATAAAAAAAAGTTGTTTGAATGATATCAGCATCCGTTTCCGATTATGACGGGAGTTTTTTTTCTCTTTCAAATAGTACACTGTTTGATGCGATTTAAGAATGATGGCAGTTATTTTTTATTAAACTGTCATAATATTTCTTAAATTTTGAGCATTTTTTTTGTTATCAGTAGGTGTTTCATAGTGTTTCAAAGTTTGAAACTAACACTTGAATGATGATCTCACTACATTCATTGTCTTTAACAATTCAACATACAAAGATGGATGCTTTTTTTTATTATCCACACCCCTTATCTCAAAAGGGTAAACAAAGTGGAGTATTAAAGCGAATAGCAAGTTATTTTTGCAAAGAAGCTGGTTGGAATGTATGTTTAAGAGTGAATGCATCTGTGACATTATGGGGCTTCTGTCCCGGTGAAATTCTTTCTCTTAATTAATTTGATTCAAATGAGTTTGTAATATTCCATCCTCCTACGAACTAGAAAATAAATAACACAGAGCATGCTAATCAATAAAAGGGATAGAAGACAGGACTAATTGTGATCATTAGAATAACAAAAAAAGAAAGCATCAGTGTGAATATTTTTTATTTTTTTTTATTACAGCTTGATTCCACACTGTATTTTTGGTACAAGTATGGAATTTTCAGCATAGATATCGGTAGCCCAAATTTTGCAGGCCGACCATAGATATCAGGTGTGCGTCGGCAGGGGATCGAACCTCGGACCGTGTGCATGGTCGGCGAGAGTCCTAACCACTGTGCCACCGACGCGCATTCTTTTTATTAATTCCTAAGTCGATGTCATTATCAGTGGCGGTTTATAGCCAGCGGTAAGATGGTCTTCATATGGATATAACTCCTCCAGAAGCAACTTTGAGTAGGTCGCGTGTGACCGGCTCCAAGTTTCTGTCTCCTGAACTCTGCATTTGCTTAATACTGATACTCTGTTTCTGCAGTGTAAGCAGTCAGGAGTTAATAACCATTCACGCACACACACACACACACCTCCATCAGTATATGAAATATTCCAGGTACTGTGTTTAAATTCAGAATAAATGTGACCGTATCATCGGAAGGTTCACTCAACACATAATGACTTTGACACAGGTATACTGTGCAGCTACCTTTCAAAATTTCTTGCATATTGTGCAGTAGTCATCTGTATTGTCCTTCGGAGCTGTGTAACATAATTGTCGAAGTTAGAAAATTGAATTGTATTAGTGGTTTTTGAGAGTGGATGATTTCGTTTAACTGCTGACTGTAAGCACAGCAATATGATAATAATGAGATTAAGCAGGAAGTTTTAAGTGAGGTTGTGAAGATGCATCGTTTAAGGGGGGACTAGAACATGTCTGACTCACACCAAGCCACTTTACTCCCCCTTCCTCAGTGAGAAGTAGGTTGGTAAAAAGTTAGAAGTGGTCGTCAGATCATCTATAAAGTCACTAACTTTTGCTCTATTTCAACTGGGGAGGTGTAGGTTGTCTAGCTGGGCGGCTCCTCATCACGATTAAAATCAATAGTTGGTGACTTCTGGTGATGTGGTTTCAAACTATTCTCAGTGATACTGCATATACAGTTATTTACCCCTTGACATATGATTTCTTTGTTTAACTACCCTCTTCATTGCACACATGTACACTTATTTATCTCAGTCTTCACCTCTTTATTCCCTTATCTTCTCATGATTTTCTAGAGTGTAATTGTAACGGGAGGAGATCAGAGATTTGATGACAGACCTTTTTTATTAAGCTAAAACACACCGCATTTATACATTTTTGTCTATGTCAGTGGATGATAATACACTATTCTGATTGGTTGTCGACTTTCCGAAGGTTAAACCTTGAGACGAAAAGTTGTCCAATGAGATTATTCCCTGATCACAAGGTACGCTAAATTCAGATTTGAGGAATGCATACTTCTACCTCTGCAGCCAATAGCCATTGACTTGAAATGTTGATTTCAGTTGTTGTCTATATACTACTTATAAATCTGGTCAGTAGCACATACCATGTGGTAACGTATTCGAGTATTTTATTTTTGCCTTCAAAAACAGTCAACCAGTTAGTCAGTAGTAAAACTAAGATTTTTTTTTCTTTTTATAAACTGAATCTAGTTCGATCTCGTGCTTCTCAGAGTACTGCTATTACCACCACCACCACCACGACTACCAGTAGTAGTTCTACAGTCAACACTTCATCCACAAATCAACCTGAATTACGTGGGCATTCAAATAAGCAAGTACCGTCGACACGGTTAAATTCAAGTGTTATACCACAGAAGTTACATAGTCACCACCACCATCATCAACAGCAGCAACAACAACATCATAATCATCCACAACATTCACGTCATATTGCTAGTAAAAAGCCTGAGGTGAGTTCATTCAATTCTCGAAGTATTTCACTCACCAGTTTCATGAGTGTACTAATATCTTTAGTTATCTGTTAACACATATTACCGAATACTCGTTTTAATTTTATTCGCATATATATTTGTCAATAAATATTCCCTCGTAATTTCCCAGTCTCTTTTAACAGCCTCCACCATCTTTCACATTCTTTGTTGTTCCCAGTGAAACAAACATATGGCTTCAAGCTTTGAAGTTCCGATAGCGATGATGTTGTGCTTTTTTTATAGGATGACTTTCCGATTCTCACACTCAACCGCCTTCCTCCTTATCAGGCTTACTTACTGTCGGTTAGTAAAGTCGATCTGGTTTAGGTGAATGTCGACTGGGAATCGAACCTGACCTGGACGTCCCGTGTCGCGTGCTTTCTATCATTGAACCCCCCAACTCCAATCTCGACCTCGATAGGACGCGGACGCTCATAATTTCAAATAACCAATTAAATAAATTAACTAGTGTGTTTGTCAAAGTGCTTAAGCAGAGAAAATTTCATCATCACAAAATGAAAAATTCCAGTCTAAACATTAATAATAATAATAGAACCAAGATATGTAGTTCAACGAAAAGGCCCTTTTCCATGAATTCATTCTCCTCTTTAAACCTAGACAATCGCCTTTTATATACAAGTTTCATTTCATGAAAGAGTGATCAGGTGTCACAAACATAGCTGTTAACATTCAAGTATTGGTTTGTGGGATTTGATTGATTGATTGATTATGGGATTTCATCATGAGGTACTGACATCGGTTTAAATTTTTTCTAAATTTCTTTTTTTGTTCTTCTGTATCGATTTAAAATCATTCAACTTGTACAACAAGCAACGAAGGTTAATGAAGCAGGGTTTAATGAATTCATCAGATTTCGGTAGAACTCGTCAGCTGCTGAATACTCTACATACACGGATATATATACTTTTGAAATAACATTGGGAGATATAAGACTGATAAGCGCAAACAAACTACATTGAATTAGTCATACAGAGAGTCAGGTTCCAATGTTTTCCAGGTCATTTTCAAATAGATAAGGGGAGAAGGAGTATGAGAGATCAAAATAAAGATAAAATGCATTACGCCTCAATTACATCACTTAAATAAACAATTAGTCATTAAAGAATATATCAGGAATTGCAAACAGAGTAATATCAGATATGATAGAGAACATTTGTAGCTCAGGTGGATGATTTTGATGTGGTTTTGTTCTCTGAGCTGGATGGTTAATTTGCGAAGCTTTCATCACCCTACTGGGTGACATCTTCAGCGCATACTTCAATTCGATGAAGTTAGCTTTTAGATTTCTCCACGAGTTTATTAATCATCTCTCCTGGTCGGTGACTGGACATGATTGGTTGTTTTTGAATATATTTTATTTATACGCGTGATTTCCCGTTGATATACATCTAGACCAGTCTTCATTTTAGCATATATTCAGGCTCCTTTAACAGATACTGACATATTTTATGATATTGGCTAGTGGTGGGATCCACGAAATGGCATTCCATCCTGTTTGCGACTTGTCAGCTGCATTTTCACCTACATCCTTAGTGACTGATGCTGGGTGTCTCACTGCGACTCTAAGCCCACCACCTATCCAGTCATCCATTCAATGTGGTATATAAAAAAAGAAATCACATATGAGAATATTTCGATGTAAATTTCTAATGTGGATAATAATCAATGCAGTTATGATATACAACGGGCGTTGATCATGTCATCATTATTATACATTAATATTCTGAGTGGAACTTAAGGCTTCGTGTCAACATATCTTCATTGCAGCTTTTTCTCTGCAGTCCTCTTCATCTGACCTCACAATTGCCCATAAGCTCTCATCTCTTCATACGATCTCCTTCATATGCTTTCGGACCAACGCCTAACTCGTTGTTTCCCAATGGGTCTCAATCGAACGATGTTCTGGAGCGCCATGTCTGCCGACGGTCTTCTCAGAGTTTTTGCGATCGGGATATTTTTTGTGCCGCAGGTTCTTGATTTGTTGGTCCCCAGAGTTTCTTGTTGTTGATTCTTTCTGTCTGGCCATCTGATGTTAAGTATGGCGCCAGCAAATTTTGTCACAACTATTGACAAAAGTCTTCAGTGGTTTGTTAGAAATGCTTTTGGTGATGCGCCAAGTCTCTGATAGATTTTATCCCCAGGTCATGTATACATGTATGTGTTTGTGTATGGATGTTTATTGTTCTAGATTTTGATTATTTCCAATGCATGTTAACTCTTTTCTGTTTTATTACAATCATGAAGATTTCACGTCTTGAGGTAAGTTTTTTCTACGTAGCTTATATGTATATGTATACATGTTTATGCGATTAGCTGTGTGTACGTACGAACGCGCTTGCGTGCGTACGTGTGTGTGCATAAATGTATGCTTGTGTGTGTGCGTGTGTGAGTATTTATGTGTATATGCTAAGGTTTATGTCATCACTTCGGTAAGTAGTCTCCACTCAAGTCGTGGTTTTTATCCAACTCGATATGCTGCCCCCCACAGTCATTATCTCCTCTTCAATTTTTGCCTCATATAAGTCTTGATGAAGACGTGATCGTTTTTCTGTCATCATTTCAGCAATATGCTCTTGTATGCGCGTGTTTATTTATTATGGGTTATGCTTCACGACTACTGATTGATAATGATTACCCTTCACCACCGTTTAGTCTGATTGTTTTACCTATTAAAAGATATGAAATGATTCATAATTTATATTTAGGCTGACTTTTGTGGAACGGTACTACCACTACAACTACTACTTTTCGTGCGTATATTATGCATTTTTTGATTGTTAAATATAAGTTAATTTTGTTTTGATAAACTGAGAACTAATGTGTTTGTTTCTATTCTGTTTTTTCCTTTTTTGTCCTCTCCACCCCCTGTGAAAATCTCCCCACCCCCACTTTACTTTATTATTGTTGTTATCACTCATAATGCTTGTGTGTGTGTGCGGGTTTGGTTACTCACATCCTTCGCACTCACCTCATCTCCTTCGTATTCATGTGACTACCAAATACTATTTGTTTCATTTCTTTTTTATGTGTGTGTGTGGGTGGGTGGGGCATCTTTGATACCCCCTTCGATTTGTCTGTCTGTGTTTTAACTAAATGTTACCACGTCTTTGTTCTTGTTGTCACTGCTGTCGCCGCTCCTTCTCTTACATTTTTGAACTACTTCACCTCTCTCCACCATACATATATTTATGTAAACTTGTGTTATGCCTAACTGGATCACTTATGCTGTGCTACAACCGACTACTAATACTTCGTGTATTGGTATTCTTAATTGTTGTTGTTATTGGCATTGTTGGCGGTGGTGCATTATACACCATACACCTTATACACACCATTACATCATATCCGCATATCTTTTTTTGGTTTTTACACAACTGTCATGATCACCCATCGATCGATCGATCTGTGTGAAATTGTTTTATCGGTGGGGATATGGTTTTGTGCATTGTCTTATTACTCTGTTAATATGTTGATTTACAATCCTTATGACACACTATTATAAATGTGTTCTTTGTGTGTGTTTGTGTTGGTCTGTCATTGTTGTTATACGCATATCTCTAAAAACAAAAACAAAATGTTTACGTTTTATGGGTTTTGGGGTCATCTGGGTCTATTTTTTCTGATGAAACAGCATGATGTATTGAAAGTGATGATGGGCAAAGAATCATTATTACCACCAGTATCCAGTGGTAACGAAGTTATCGCTGTAACAGCAGCAACATCAACTACTACTACTACTACCACGATCAGTAGTAGTAGTGTTACTAGTACCAGTTTGTTAGGACTTCACAATCCTAGTGATATTGCTCCTTGTTGTTCTTCTTCGTCTTCTTCTTTTTTATCCTCACTGTCCACTCCTTTGTTATCTTCACTCGCCGTCGCCGCCCCCTCCTCTTCTTCAGAAACGCCGACAAGTGTGTCACCTTTGATGAATATTAGTAGTAGTAGTAGTAGTAGTAGTAGTAGTAGTAGTACACATCAGTTCCATGTGAATTTATTTCAATGGCTGAAACAAGCTCAATTGAATCCATCCTCTGCATCATTGATTTATTTACGTGAACAGTTACGACAGAATTTATTCCTACAACAACAACAACAACAGCAGAAACAGCAACACAGCCAACATCAGCAACGTCGATTACAACCGACACAGATACCGCCACCACCACCACCACCACCACCCCATGTGAGTTCACCGTTATCACAATCGATCATAAGGACTGTACTACCATCGTCTACCTCTAATAATATTATCCATCACTTTCCAAGGCAGCAGCCACAACAACAACAAACAAGCTTAGTAAATGTATTTAATCAATTACCTGAAGCCGTAGTAGATAATGATTGGTTCGGATCTAATGTTGATTTGATCGAGGTTAGAAACAGTAGCAGTAATAATAATAATAATAATAGTCATATCATTACACCTAGTAGTAATATCAATGACAGTACTGATGAAAATACTTCAATACCAGTCCTTGACCTCTCCTCCTCCACATCCTCATTATTATCATCACCGAAACCACCATTAGGACCAAGACTGTTAAGACGTCGATTGCCTAAGCCTAGACCAGATGAATTTATTGTTGTTGAAGAAGAAGAAGAAGAAGAGGAGGACGAGGGGGAGGAGGAGAAGGAGAGAGAAGAAGACAGTGGTGATGGTTGTGGTAATGACAGTGTTGAAGGCGGTGAAGACGGTGAAGCAGATGAACACCAGTTGAATAAAGACGATGAAAGTCTTGGCTTACACAATGATTATCATTTAACTAAAATACCACAATTTGTTTATAATTATTCCTCTCCGAAATTCAATCAATCGTCTTCCACTAATCATGATTTACATCAAATCAATACTCGAGTGATGGGAAAAATTGTGGTGGATAGTGGTGATGTATCCTCGTTAAGTCGGAATGCTATTCCTCCTGGAACACATGATAATACTGAGAATAATGTGGAGGAGGAGGAGGAGGATGATAGTCAAAGAAAGCCAGAAGAAATGATCAGTTTACAATCGGTAGGATTTTTTTTTTACCCCACTATTTCAGTGTCCGTGTGTTGTATACACGCTGTCTCACTCACACACATAGTGTATCAGTGTTCTGTACGCTAAATGTAGTATGTTATGTAAATATTATTCATTCCATGTGTTCCTAAGATTCTTTGGTGATGTGAATCATCTGTTCCTTCATCGCTTATCCTGAGTTCCTTCTTGAGAAAATAAGCAAATTCGTCGTGTATCGTTTCATGCCAGTCTATATTGAATCTAGTGAAATATAGTCGTGTTTGTCGTGAATGTTGTCCAGGAATCATTTTTTTTTACTGTCGTTGTTGTTTTCTCCGACTATGACTACTCCCTACCCCGCTCCCCTGCTACCCCGCCCCTACTTCTTATAATCCCCAAAAATTATGCTTTTTGTATGCTGTCTCATCTCCCACATGATATTTTCATCAGAATATACATATGTACATATATAGCTTTTCATGTTGTTGTGTAATGCGATGGAGTAGTTTGTGAGGTCAATCGTCTTTTCCTTCTTTTTGTTTTTGTTGTTGTCGTTGTTTGAATGTATTCGTTATTTGATTTTGTAATTGTTTTCTTTTTTTTGCTTTTCAAACGTGTTTGTTCATCTTCTAGGAACTTGATCAGTTAGCGGCACAATTGACTAATTTAGGCGCTGTTTCACCTAGCCCTAATAGACAAAATAATGGAATGAATGGAAAGCCAGATGGTAAAAAGTCAACCAATAGACGTCAACAACAAGAACGACAGCAACAGAATTATGAAAATAATGCACATTTATCAAAGCTGTCAAATGATCCAGTTCGCCGTCATCATGATTCAAGTGGACGTGATCGATCTAATTCATTCTCATCGTCGACATCAACTTCATCCTCGTCGTCTACCTCATCGTCAGTATCATCTGAAAATGTTAGCAATAGTAATAATAATAATAATAACATAAATTCACCAATTCACATGAATAGTAGTCACAATAATAACAATAATAATAAATATTCAACAAGTAATTCATCTACAGTGAGTAGATCTCATTCTATTGGTTCACAGAATGATTTCCATTCATCAAGCACATGTTCTTCTGGTTCATTATCGACTAATTCATCATGTGATAATACACATAGTCGTCCTAATGCAGCGAAATTAGCCTTGAATGGAAAAAGACGTACAACAGAAGTGGATCCTCGTCGATTGACTGTTGTTGAGAATGTACATGTACTAAATAATAATAATAAATTGGCCAATAATCGAGATGCTGATTCCAATCAACCAGATGATTTAGACATAATGCCTAACGATCAGCTGGATGATGATATAAATTCTAGAGGTTATGCTGCATATGATGACGGAGAAGTTGTTAGAGAAGGCGAAGATGCTGAGGGTGATGGTGATGCCGAAGAAGAAGAAGAAGTAGACGGTGAAGACGAAGATGAGGATGAAGATGAAGGGGATGTAATTGTGGTTGAAGAAGAAGAAGAAAATGGTGCTGATTTAGAAGAAGCTGAACAACTGAGAGCCACACTATCTATTGTTCGTACACGGCAAAGACCATCTCTGAGTGAATTTATACGTAATGGTCATGGTATTGATGATACGTCTGCTGTTAACAATACTAATAATAATAATGTGATCAGTAATGAATCATTCTACTGTATCGATGATGGAACCCTGTCTAGTTCAGCAGTGAAATGGCATAAAGAAGGAGCCTTGTAAGTTGTCGCTGTTACCCTTACTTCTAATGTAATATATGTATATAGTTATGTTATTATGTTATGCAACACCCTGATGATTTGTCTCTGTAAACATTTTCAGTTGATTGTAACAAAGTTTGTTTAGATTAATTTAATATAACTACATTGATATAAATAATAATAATATTCATTTCTATGCATGCATGACTAATTCCCTGTTCCTTTTTTGTATTTTCTCCCCATCCCCTCATCTCCTGCGTTCTTTCCATATGCGCTTGTCATCATCTTCACCTTGTTATTTATTCATCTAAATATTCACTCTATATATCCCTTGAAACGCACATACATACATGCACACACACGCGCGAAATTTGACTGTGAATTGCTCTGCTCTAACATTTCTGCTGCATTCTGCGGATATCAATACGGTATAAAAACGGGTTTATCTTATCTTAAAACCAACTTAACCAATCTATCTTTGCACCTATTTCTCTATATTCTCACACTATCTATCGATCTATCTATCCTAATAATTGATATAATATAGAGATAAGGCTGTGCACTCAATAGTAGGAAATCTTACGTGTAATGCATCGTCACCCCTATGTCCTCCTCCTCCTCCTCCCGCAGTTCTATTCCCTCCACCGCTTCCACCACGCTCTAAGCGTCATTCTCTTTACTTTGAAACTAACTTTACAAAACTTGAGCACAGACCTTCTGATGTTGTTGGTGTTGAACGACAACACCTTCAGCTATTACAACAACAACAACAGCAGCAGCCGTGTCAAATTTTATTAGCAGCATTAGGCGGTTATTCTTCTTCATCAAAACAATCCAAGCGATATTCTGCACCAGGTCTTACAATTCTGAAGTAAGTGGCTTTGTTTGTTTGTTTGTTGCTGTTTTTTTCCTGGTTTTTACCCAGCTGTTGTTCAGTTTCTTCTTCATCTAGTTAGTGCTTCTGCTGCTGCTGCTGTGCTTTCATCACTGGTTTCTTTTTTTTCTTATCAAGTTCTGTTGTGTTTCTGCTTATTCATATAATATTAATAATAGCGTCTTATTAGTTTTTTCAGCATTCAGTGTTGGTTGGACTGGGTTTTTGTAGTTAGAAATTCACGTGTGTGTGTACGTCTGTGTGCGTATGTGCGTGCCCGTGTGTGTGTGTGTGTGTGTGTGTGAATAGAACATACCTATCAGGAGTACATACGGAAAGCCCAACAGTAGTGGTGTTTCTTTTCCCCTTCAGCCTCCTTATTTAAAAATAAACATATATACATATATTGCTAACACACTGCATTACTTTTTGTGGTGCTATTTTATTCACTTTACTTAATTATGGCTGTTTTTGTAGTGGTAGTGGTGGTGGTGCCGTTGTTGAGCAGTTTTTTTTTTACTGAAAACGTGGTTTTTTCCCCTTAAGCTTAGTGTGCCTTTTTGTATAATTGTTAGTTTCCCCCTATCCTGTTTCTTTTTTTTGGTTTTGCCATTTTTACATCATGAGAGTGGGAAAAGAAAAGCAGCAAGTTAACAAACAATATAAATTATTTTTCCCAGTACCTTTTTTTATATATATTTGCACTCTATTGTACTTCAGTCTCGTAAACTCGTAATAATAATAATAGTATTGGGTCCTATTGAACAAAGAATAAGTGTCAAGGTCGTCCGTTCAAGGTTGAAGTTGTTTAAATCTTTAAGTCTTTTTTTTAAAAATAGCTAACTGGTGATAAATTCTAAAGTAGAATAGAATCGAGAGTTCTTCGTTGTTTTTTTTCGTAATCAAATCATTATAATCGAAATGATTTATATTCGTATGTAGCTACTTAGTTGGTTGGTTAGTGAGTTAGTTAGTTAGTTGGTTAGCTAGATTGCGAGTTTTTTAGGTTACTTGTTTGTTTTTCATTTTGTGGAAGTCACTCTTCTTTGAAGTTGTTAATTTATTTATTAACTGCAAGTATGAAAACTCAATTCAATGGTAGGTTGGTGGAATCATTATTATTATTATTTCTTTGGGTTCTGAGTGGAACCTAGGCCTTCAACAATACATCTCCATTTTGTTCTATCCTCTGCCGTGTTCTCTTCAATTGGGTCCTCAACTGCGCATAATCTCTCATCTCCTCCTCGCCATATGATCTTCTCCTCTATGTTACCCCCACACTGACGATCCACTCGTCGCTTCCCACAGGGATTGCACTTGAACGACGGGCTGCATTGAGCGTGATATCAGTAGACAGCCTCTTCAGTGGCGATCCTCACCTCGATCCATCTCCATTTTCTCCTACATATTTGTTGGGCGATCAGCTCTCGCCTGTTTGTTCGTCACCAGTTAGAATTTCTTGTTGCTGACCGGTCATTTGATCTTCAGTATGGAGCCAGCTATAGTGGAGGTGGTAGCTGTTGTGATAATAATCGGTACCAGGCTGTTGGAAATCCTTTTCGTGACAGACTGACTGACTGACTTCGCATGTATGTTGAACAGAATCCGAATCGTGTTGTTTATGCTGACTGGCTGAGTGCAGTGAAGATTTCCAAACTAGTTTCAGGTTGATGAAGGTGTGCGTATCTTGCCTTTCCGATTCTTGCTGGCTGGTTTTGAAATCATCCGTTCCTAAATAATTGAAGGACTGAAGTGATGTAATCATTAGTTCATTAATATTTAACAATATGTACAAATGATAGTGGTCGACGGTTCAGTGGAAAAGTACTCGCCAACGCCGACGCCCAACTTGATCCGGGTTTCGATTCCCGGCCGATGCACTCTTAAACTTCTCTGCTAAACAGGTGGTAGCCAGCTTAAGAGGGAAACATCAAAACTCAAGTTTGAAGTCTTATGTTCCATTCAGGATGGAAAGGATAACGCACTTACAAGCTCTCTAAAGACCATTCATAGCTTCTTTGACGATAAAGTATTCTTCTCCTCATGATAATTAGAATACGACGCTTTCGTCTTTTTATCTACAAAAATAAGGTGGGTGTCAAAAGACATGATATCCATGCATGTAGACAGTTATGGACACCAATTTGACCGGAAAAAATGAACGAATTTGAAATCACTAGACATCGTGACATACATCAGATTTATCAAGGCTGTACAGGTGTGCGAAACATCAATTTATTAACTCAACAAAATCATCATTACTAATACAAGTGAACAAGAGGATAAAACAAATCTCCAGAAACTGGCAGTTACTTTCAAGGTCGTCAGGGTGAGCGGCCAATAAACTCATGGGGAATTCTAACCGAATTCTGCGTTGAGTATGTTGTCTATAAAGACAACGAAAGCTTCTCAGTTAAATCATCCAGCTTATAGAGTATAACTACACCAATGCTATATACGTCATTAGTGTTAAACATGGTTTTTAGTTTACGGTTGATTTAAATGAAACAACCAAATCAGTTTTCAGTTCTGACACGTAATAAGTGCTAAATATGTGGATATGGATTACTGGCTGTTACTATTTCACTTGCAACGGTTCGAATCCTTCATTCTGAGCAATTGGTCAGTATCATCAGCCTTCCCATACAAAATAAATGTATCTCATGGTTTCACGCATGAAGAATCTATTGGGTGAACTGGGACATATAAGTAGCTTTAAAGACACTTTCCATTATATATTGAGAAATATTCAATTTAATCATGTTTTTGGTCAACAAGATCTTAACACTTGTAAACACAAAAATATTTCTCAATATTGTAAGGAAAGTGCTGAGACTATCTAAGAGAGTGTTAGCTTGAAACATTATCATTGTGACGTGATTGATGATGATTTGTGAGGATAAAATGGAAACCTGAGTCACAGCCACTTCTGAATTTACTCTTTCAGTGTGGTCTACCGACTGACTTACAAGGCTTGATTTGGGGCAACTAGGCGATCGATTCGCTGCATTCACACAACGAGTAGTAGTGCCTAATTGTCTTGTGAATGAATTCCGCGTAACAATCTGTTCAGCATCACACCAACTGTCTAGCTAGATTCTCTCTTGAACTAGGAGGAGGGAGCAGGCTTTCAATTATTAGTGATTACTATCTGAGATAACCTTGATGATGTTATTATTGGTGAGTAACTGAACGTCTCGTAGCTTTGTGATTAGAGCCTTACGGGTTGAAGTCTTGCCGCAAATCAGATATTCATATCACTCGGAATCATCAATACAAGACTAGGAATGTTAATGTAGCTTGTTGTGCATCTGTACTGGCAAATTGAATTGACTGATTTGTATTCCTTCAATGACTAATTAATTACCCCTACGAATACTCCACCACTATTACCTGTAAAGTTCATATTTCTCCGTGTTTCTTATTTATATGCACGAATTATCGATCATACACACACTTCTACTAATGATTATTGGGTCGGGTCCCATTGGCTGAAATGGTTTACGAGCCGCCCATCTTGTGACTGGGCGATCCTGGGTGGGTGGAGGCTCACTGCCGAAGGGTTCCAAACTAGGACTAAACAGCTGTCCAGTGCTCCCTGGTGGTTTCTCAATGGTTCTCTAACGGATGTCAACTCGTGATCAGACCTGTAAACAATCAAATCCCTCCAAACTGACACTTGATTATTATTATGATTATTACTCATCTTCATATAGTTTAACAGTAAGATTGTTTTAAATGAGTATAATTGCACTAAAAAATCAATTAAATAATGTTTGCTTTATGCCACTACAACATCGGAGAACACCTCAGTGACGTTCTTCTTTAATATTCTCGTGTACTTACTGTTATAACTGCACTGAATTAAGGTAAAACCCCGTCGCCAATTTGTTATAACTGTAAGGAATTGAATGAAGACGTTTTCACCTTATTCTGTCTGCGCCTGAACTAATCTGTCTATCTCCTTGTCGTACCTTCCGACTTAGTAAAGCACGCAAATATCAAAAGACAAAGGCTGGACTGTGACTGTGTATTGAGGTGCAACAACGATAAAGAAAGCCATGGTATTTATACATTTTACAACAATATGGACAGCTAACAGCATTTGAAATAATTGATCTTAATAGCCAATAACAAAGTGCGTGAGAGATGATAATATACCATATGTGCGAGGTTAACAGTCAGTAACAAAATGTGTGGGAATGATAATATACCATATATACAAAATTAGCAGTCACTACCAAAATGTGTGAGAATAATAATATACCATATATACAAAATTAGCAGTCACTACCAAAATGTGTGAGAATGATAATATACCATATATACAAAATTAGCAGTCAATACCAAAATGTGTGAGAATGATGACATACCATATATGCAAGATTAAACAGTCAATACCAAAATATGTGGGATCCTATCACTTACTAACCTTATAATTGGCACAGAGATACCTGCACAATTGTACATATATGATCTCGTAACTTACACGAACTCTTTACAGTTTCCGACAACAATGATACTCCTGCTTACCTGTATCAGGAATAGGACAAGGCTGTCTATGATCACCGATGCTATTCCTGGTTGTGGGGGAGTGAGAAGACAAGACAACATATGCTTGACCGATAAGAAAACTCCAGAAGATCTAGATTTCTCAGATGATTAGTGTCATACAAACTCGAAAACTTCCAGGCGAAAACCAACATACTGGCGAAAGAGGCTTGGTGGACAGCGAAGACAAGAACTCCAGGTGAACATAAGGAAGTCAGAGGTGATGAAGCTATCCAACTAACAGCAAATACACACAGCGTTAACCACTCCAACGGGAGAAACTTGAAAGAGGTCACTTCCTTCACTTATCTAGGAAGTAGTGTTTCAACTACAGACAGATGAAGACGGATGAAGATGTAAAAGGCAACCAGAATCTCAAAGGCAAGATAACTACCTCATCAATCTGAAACACAACCAGTTTCGAAATCTTCTACACTCAGTATAAAGAACAGGACTCGGATTTTCAATATAAATGTGAAGCGAGAAACTTGGCGCATCACTTAAAGCATTTCCAACACATTGCAGACTTTCATCAACAGCTGCCTTCGCTGCATGTTCAAGATTAGATAGCTTTCGAAAAAGAATTAACAAAAAGAAACTCTCGGAACAAACTAACCAACAGCTTACCGTCAAACAAATATATAGGAAGAAATGCAGTTGGATCGGGCATACGTTGAGGAGACCGTCGGGTGAGATCACGTGCCAGACCCTCGAATGAGAAACGACGAGTGGGGCGTGGTTTCGAGGGTGACTTGGAGAAGATCGTGTGGTGAAGAGTAGATGAAAGAGACTATAGGCAATCTTTAGACCAGCTAAAGAGGACAGCAGAAAGTAGAACAAAGTGTAGATGTGTTGTTGAAGCCTAAAGTTCTACTTGGAACCCAAGGGATCAATAATAATCATAATTAGCGAAGTGTGGTAATTTGTGTACCTTTTCTCAGTCAAAATGAAAAGTTACAGGATTTCATCATGAGCTGACGTCAGTTAGAGAACCACTGGAAAACCTGGGAATACTGGACTGATAGCTGCTTCGTCCTAGTCTGGGACTCTTCATGAGTACGCACTCACCAGAAGGGGGTCGAATCCAGTAACTTCTGGTTAAAAGGCGAGCTCGTAGACCATTAAGTCACTAGGACCCGATTCTGAAAACCAATACTTGAAAAAGGAGAAGTTTTATATGCTTTATTTAATACATTATATATTTTTTACTAATAACTTTGTAAATATACTTTAGTAATTTGTATATTCACTGTATAATTTGTGTGTTTTTGTTGTTTACTCTTTACCTCAATTGTTATACAACACAATGGATTGATATATGCATGCATATAACTAACACACATCGCTTTCACAACATATACATACAACACAACTACGCTTACACATGCACACACACATACATGTACACGCATTATTTAGACCGTCAGATGAATTTGCAAAGGAGACATTGTGCAGTCTAGCGTCAATTATTGAATCTACATCTGGAACTATCGGTCGATCTGGTTCAAATGAAAATACACCGAGTAAATCAGCAACCAGTGGAAATGATAATATCAAGGTATGTGGGTGTGTGTGTGTGTGTATTTTTTTGGCTTTCCTTACTGTCGCTTTTGCGTAGTATCCACAATAGCCAAAGCGGACTAGTTTGTGTCATAAACTTTGTTCGTGTTCCTCTCTTTATATCTTGTTTTACTGGATTCAGGGGAATCACTGGCTTGCTTGCGCGTTGATTGTTCAGCGGTAGAATACTCACCAACCATGCCACACGCATGATATGGCGCTCGATTCCCGGCCGACACACTCCTAAACCTCACTTAACCGATATAGTAAGCCGGGTAAATGGGAGTAGGGTGGGTGGGTGGTTTTTTGCACTTGAGGTTAGCAACTAAGCCCCCCCCCACCGTAAAAAGAAACGCTACTTCTCCTGAAACCTCAAAGCTCAAGCTTGAGGCCCCCTATGTTTCACTCGAAATGCAAAGGATTAAACTAATTATAATGTCTGGCTTATATCGATGAAGTATTTATTTGCGTTACTAGCGGTAAAAGAGTAAATATGTCAGTGTGCTTCATGTTGGCTTGAAGGTGGTAATTCACTTCATTTTAAATGACAGTAATGTCGAATGATACTCTCCATAACTAAAATTTATTATTTTTTTAAAACATAAATCCATATTGTTCCTTTCATGCAGTTTTGGACGCATGGATCTTAGGTTAAGTAGTAGGTGTGTTTTGCTTCTGAAATAAACTGTCAGGCAAAGAGTCATTGTTCATTATTGTCCCGCGTACGGCAAAGTTAAACTTGAAGCAGCACTAATTACCAATCAGCGAACGACCTTGAACGCGCCAATCACATAAAGGAGGTATTTTTGGGTATGGAATACATATATTTACGAAGAATATGCATCAAAATGCATCATAGGATACCTTTCTCTGATATGTGGTAAAAATATCTGAGCATAGGAGTATCGATTGGAAGTTACACCACACTCTATACATATATTCATCTAAATGGCTATAAATGATATCCTTTTGAGATCCATTTAATGGCCTTAATCCTGTTTTTAACCTTCCCCAAAACCCTTCTATAGAACTGATGTGTGTCCCTGTAATGGGATCCACAAAATCATTAGAATGATTCACTCTGTGGTGAATATATTCAAGCGATGACAGGTAGTTATAACCTTTCCATTCATCCACGTGTACAATGACACCTTCTCCTCCTAATAACGAAGTAATTCTTTCTATTTTCCATGACGCGATATCTCTGCAGTGCTGGTACCACTAAAATGTTGATAGGAGACTATTTTCTCTGCTTTAGTAGCTACACTTACCACAGGTTGTTCTAAAACCTAATAACTACATATTTACAAAATCTGGATTAAGGATAATTGGGACCTAGCAAAAAAAATGTTTCTCACGTGGATGAAACTCATTGGGCCATTCAAGGTCATGATAGATGGGGTGTGGAACTTGAACTGTTACACTTCTGTCCGTGAAGTCAGTCAGGCAGTCACTATTTCATTGTTTTAATTCTTTTCTGTCGTGCTTGAACAATTACTGAAGTGTTGATAGGACCCGGCATAAAATAGTATATCATCTTTTATCACGAATCGTGTAATTTATCTTGTCATGGAGTTACTATGTGAATATATCATTTCTCACGCATATTGTAGCTTAGCGTGTGTAACCAATTCATCTTCTTTTGTCTCACCTTGATCTTTGTCTGATCATCAACCAATCGAGATAGATATGTTTTCAACCAATAAGAACAATACATCCCCATGGTTGTGAGTCGACTTTATTATGGTTAAGAAAATGTATAAATATCGTGTGTTGTTTCTTAAACCATAGAGTGTGGTGCAGTATAATATGGTATCTTATAATCAGAGGTCAGGCTTTGTGTTTTCTGATATTTGCATGGCTCAGTGAGTCGGAAGGCACAATGGACAAATAGACGTATTAGCGTATCAGTTGAGTTCATTTCCGTTATAGTAGCTAACAGGCGCAGACATAACAAAATAGCAACGGATTTATTCATTTAAGTTCAGTTATAACAAATTGGCTACGGAGGTACAACAAGTGTGTTCATCGTTGAACTATTTCTTCATGTAGATTTATGCATTCCTTACCAGTTCACCCATATGGCGCTAGCCACAATTCTTATGATTTGTGAACTGATTCAACTCTCCGTCGAGTTGAGTTAAATCGGTGTGCACCACTGATGTGAGCTTGGCTTCAAATGAACTAAGTTCACGATTTGGTGTTTTTCTACAACCTCTAGGACGACGCGAATAGGAAGGTATAAAGAAAACTAGGATTTTGAACAATAATAAATTGTTATTCAAGTGTTGGTTTGTAGGGATTTGATTGGTTACAGGATTTCATCATGAGCTGACATCAGTTAGAGAACCATTGATAAAACTTGGGAGTACTGGACAGCTGTTTCGTCCTAGTTTGGGACTCTTCATCACTACACACCCACCAGGATTCGAACCCAGGACCTTCTGGTTATAAGACCGGTGAGCTCGTATACCATTAAGCCACTGGGACCCGATCCAATGGCTCATGGTCACTGTGTTTTAAACTTTGTCATCCATTAAATAAATAATACTGTTTCTCCACTGTGTTGTAATATATATATGTTATATATATATATATACAATGAATAAATTACTCTGGAAGTGAAATCAATCAACTCCCTGGAAACTGTATCACCTGAAGATTTAATCTTATCTATCTTCAAACTATCATCACCTTCTTTTGCCCTCTTTGAGTTAATACTCTTCTTCTTCTTCTTCTTCTTTACATTGTTGTCTCTTTACTTCTGTTTTTTTCTCTCTGCTCGATCGTCCTTAAACACTCCTGCGTTGTTCTTCCTAAAAATCCGCTTAACTTGAATTAAGGATTAAGATGTGTGTGAGAGAGCTTATTGTGTTTTCAAAATAGGCATGAATGACTGGTCTGGGTTTAAGTTTATTTACCTTATATAGAAAAAAAATGATTTGTTTAAATTTTTTATTATTCATGAAATTCTTTCACACAGAATGACTTTTGCTCTTGGTTTGTTTATTTATTCTTGTTGTGTTTTAATCCGAAACGACCAGTGGTGAGAAAGAGAGTATGTAAGAGATTTGCATAAATCCCATAGTCTTCTTCTCATTGAATTATAATCCAGTATTATTATGCTAGGAAGATTCTCTTACAACTGATTTTATTATACTTCAATTTCGCCGCGGGGCGTTCTTTGCAATAGTGAGTGAAAGCCCGAATGAGGACGTCCAGAGTCTACAATCGGACTGGTGGAAGGCATGCTATTCTACCTAAGGGAGCTGGAAAACCATAATTCTAAAACTACGGTGTACATGGACTCCGGAATTCGAATGTAGTGAATGGTTTATGAAACTCTATTGGTCACCGGGATCCATGGGAACGCTACTCTACTGACTTGTGGGTCAAACTTCTCAAGTCAAAAACTGAAGATAGTGGTGGCCCCTTAACAAGACCACCTGTTTTGGAGCAATATCCCAGCCTTCACACAAACTATAAGCATCGCTTGGTGCCCATAATGTACCAGCTTTGTGTTTTAATAATAGTGACAATTTTTCTGCTAATTTCCGTTAACCGAAAAAATATTTGAAACAGTTTAGGTCGTCTGAAATTACCTCTTCGAAAGTAGATGTCGTCGTTAGCTGATATCAGTTAGGGGAACTGTGATCAGCTGTTTCGTCGTAGTTCTGAACTCTTGCACAATGTATTCCCATGTCACCTACACGTTTGGAAATCTAAACTTTCAGGTTTTTTTCGACAAATATGCTTGTGGCGAGAGCTGTCTGCAAGCCAAAAACTGTCGACAACAATTTACGTCAATGTTCACGTCCTAAATCAGGGTTTTGAGAAAATGACCAGCCAATCACAGCGGAGTTAAAGTGTGGAAATATGATTCACAGGCATGTGATTTGATTTTCTGAGAAACGGCCACAAAGAGATGACAGATATAACCTTAAGCAAGGAAAAAACCAATCAGAAGACGTTGTTTCTCCGTTAACAATAATACCAATAATAATGCATATAAAAATCTATAAATACTTTTTGATTTTCTCAATAACCGATCTGTTGCCTGGCCCATATCTTCTTTCGTGTCACATGTCTAATAGTTAATCTTTGGATTTGAAAGATCCATTGACCCATGAATTCTTACTTCTGTTCATTCTTCTCTTTTGCACCACACACAGCTCAAGCAGTGGCTAACTTTACGATTGATTTCTAGTGAGCAGTTGTGACTAGTGTGTTGTGGTTCACTGCACTTGAGTGTGGATGATTGAAAGAATCCAGCATCCTTATAGTCTGTCAAATCCCTGCACTTATACGTTAGCTGGACGACAGAAATGTTCAACTGGTAACCTGAAGTTCTTTGGTTCTATTTCCAGTGGGGGATCGTTAGGGTGTTCTGTTTTGAAGAATTAGGAACTTGCGATGAAAATACATCTGTCATCTCCTTCTAGCTTTTTAATATTTCTCCAATTGATGTCAGTTGCCTGATGGAATCTGTGTATACACAGTATACTGTGAGTGAAAATCAAGTAGTTAAGGGATTATGGTGACTGACTAGTTGATCAAGATGTGCAATCGTCTGTGATTCACAGTAGGCACTTACATGTTAGATAATTGAAAGCGGTGGATTAATCCCTATCGGCTCAAAGCATTTGGTGATAGTGAATCTATTCACCGGGGAATTTGACTAATTCAATCAATGAATCTTTCAAAAGATACTGATTGTCGTTATAAATTCCCTTTGACTTTGGCATTGATTAAAACAATGTCGAAGTTTCATATATATTTCTGTAATATGTGTAAGCGTCGGTGGCACAGCGGTTAAGACGCTCGCCGACCATGCAGAAGGTCCGGGGTTCGAGCCCCGGCCGGTGCACACCTTTACCTCGCTAGGCCAGTAGTGAGACTGGTAAGGAGGAAAAGTTGGGCATGAGGCTAGCAACCCATCCTGTAAAAAATCAACGCTGCTACGGAATCTTCAAGCCTATAGCTTGGAGCCCTATGTCCCACTGGGAACGTGAACAAAAAAAAACAATATGTGTATACACTCTCAATAAATTCAAAATCCTTTTGGTTAAGTAAGACTTCCTATCGATTCTTGATTGTTAGTCGTCATCCCAATACTTTCCTCATCTTTATTTGTTTTTAATTCAGTTTTGATTTCCCACTTTGATTGATTGGATGGAAATGTCCCACCTCAGTTGTGAAATGCCGGCTCTTAGTACGAACGCTCCGATAGCGTCTTAGGATTAACCTGATGAGTCTAGAAATGTGCCTTTTGTCCTATTTGGCACTCGTCATCTGCGTGTATCTACTGTCCCCAGTGAGTGATAGTGTTCCTGCTGTGACTCGAACCCAGTTTTTGTTGTTTCGAGCTCCTTCATTCGCTGGAGATTTCAGGTCCTCCTACTACCGGATAACTAGTGTCAAATAGGACGAAACGCTCACCTCGGATTCAACCGTTAGTCATCACCCATCAAACTGCTTCCACTCTTGTTTTTCTTAGTTTGAATTACTCACAGGTTCAAGCACTTGATTGACTACCAACCGACAGGACCATCGGGTTTAAGTCCCGCAGCCCCCATACAATAGATATAGCTCATGGAAATGCAGATTGTTGTTGAGTACCATGCATTGACCGATTGGTATGTAGTTAAAATTATTATTATTATGATGTTTATTTAAAGTGTGAAGGTTTACATCTTTTTTTTCTTTTTATCTTTCCCTTTTCCAAAAATCTCATTAGCTTGTGTCAAATGGCTATCCAGCTGCTATAGATTCAGATATTGCAATCACAAGTTCAGCGTCTTCAAAACTAATGGATCGAAATGAGAAAGAAGGTATGTAATGGTGTGTGTGTCTGTCTGTATGTATGTCTGTAAATCTATTTGTTTCTTTAATGTGTGCGTTTGTGAGTGTGTGTATTTGTGTCAAATGTTAACTGAATGTAACAGATAAATTACCATTAATCTTATTATTGCATTACGAATAAAACTTGCATTAGTCATGACTCATATAATTAACAGTAAATTATTGTTGTATTTACTTACATAAAAGGAGGAGGCGAAGAGGAACGATATAAAGAAATCTAATTACAGAAAAGTTGCGCAATACTAAAGAGTCGCTATATAGTGGGTTAGCTTATTAGAATGTCACCTTGTTAGAGATAAGATTATAGACTGTTAGAGAAGAAACTTCATTTGAATATATAATAGACAGTAGGATTATATTTTCATGAGTTCGCATAGCTGCTCCAGCTGTGTGTGTGTGTGTGTTTGTGAAACGAGAACAAATCTGGAATTCCGTTTAAAAGATATGGGGAAATATGATAAATCACCAGGATACAGGCTTCTCCAGTCCAAATGGGTGACGAAAATCAGTCAAATAAAGCAGGATTTCTTTCCATTTTCGATCACAGATTGATGTCGGTTAGAAAACCATTGAAATCCAGGGAGAATTGGACAGCTCTTTCATCCTAGCCCGGGGCTCTGCATCAGTACGCACCTGTCGGGGTTTGAATCTAGGAACTTCCAGTGACAAGACAGGCTCGTAGACCATTCAGCTACTGTGATATAACCCAACGCCCTGGGCCACCCACCACCAGCCAGTGTCATTAGAGAGTGTCCTAACACCCGACATGGTGGGCCCCACGTGGTCACTACTTCTCACAAGGACTCTGTGCATTGGATCAGGTCCTTGTGGCTGAAGGATCTACGAACATGCCTTGTAATCGGAGAGTTCGAATCCCGACGGGTGCTTCCTGTGAAGAGTCCTAAACTAGGACGAAACGGCTATCCAGTTCTACCTGATTTTCAATGATTCTTTAACTGACATCAATCTGTGATAAAACTTGTAACAAATCAAATTCGCACAAACTAAGTTTCAGAAAATGAAAACAGAATTTAGCTTTTATTTTATTGGGTTTTTTTCCAACCACGACAGCAAGTGTTCATCAGTACCTATTGGGTCGCCTTTTACAACTTCCTGAGGAAGAGAAGCACAATTAGCTGGCTTATCTTTCACTTCAGTAGTGACGGTTGATTGGCTGAAAGAAAAAATGAAACAAGACATTTAGGATTGTACATGTTCCTTTATCCTTACGAGACAGTCTTTGGCATAGAACTACTGCGCTACCCGGCTGTCCATTGAATCGTAGTCCTGTAAACAACCGCTTCTTGTTCTTTTTCTTAAGAATAACAACCTTTTTTGGTTTTCTGCATACTTTGGTTGTTTTCAAAGAATGGACATTTATGATATTATTATTATTGCTCCCTTGGATTCCTAGTGGAACATAGGGCTTCAACTGCACGTCTCCATTCGCTTCTGTCTTCTGCTATACTTTTCACCTGCATCCATGTTAGTTCATGCTCTTTCAACTCCTCTTCACACGATATCCTCCATGTCACCCTTGGATGTCCCGCACGCCGCTTCCCTTTCGGGTTCCACTCGAGGGCTTGACGCGCGATGTCACCCAGCGGTCTCCTCAGCCAGTGACCGATCCATCTCCACTTTCTCCTGCATATTTTTTGTTTGGCTATTGGTTCTTGTTTTATTTGTTCCCAGCCATAGTTTCTTGTTGGTGATTCTTTCCGGCCCGGCCATCTGATTGATCTTCAGTATAGAGCCAGCAAGGACAGTTGTTGGTTGATAAAGGTCTGCAACAGGTTGTTGGAAATATTCTTTGTGACCCGCCCGTCAAGTTTCTGATCCGTATAGAATAGCTGATTGACTTGACGTTTGTATTGAAAATCCGACCGAATTTTGTTGTTGATGATGGCTGAGTGACGAAGATTTCCAGATTGGTTTCAGTCAGGTTGATGAATGTGTTTCTCGCCTGCCTTCCCGATTCTCGCTCGATTTGACATCCTCGTCCGTTCCTCCTGTAGTTGAGACAATGCTCCCTAGTTAAGATAAGTGAATGAAGTAACCTCTTTCAAATCCCCCTCGTTGATGGTGATTGACGCTGGATGTTGCTGCTGCTGTTGTTGTTGCTGGCTGGTTATTTTCATAACCTCCGTCTTGTCTATGTTCACTTGGAGTCCTGTCTTCGCCGGCTGCTTCCTCGACCAGTTTGTCGGTTTTCGCTTGTAAGTCTTCGATTTTGTGTGACATCAAACATAAATCGTCGCTGCGCGAATTCCAGGTCTTCTAGGTTCTTCGCGTCGGTCCAGGATATTCCTGTCTTCTCGTTTCCCACTGTCTGACGCATAATCCGGTCAGTCCACCACAATTCGGAATATCATTGGTGATAATAAGCACCCTTATCTGACTCCTGTGTTTACTCCAAACGTCTCGTTGAGTTTTCCGTTGTGGATCACTTGGCAGGTGCCGTTGTCGTACAGCTGTTGAATAAGGTTGGTGAATATTTGGGGTACGTCGCAGTGCTCGAGTAGTTTCCAAATTACTTCGCATTCAACGCTGTCGAAGGCCTTCTCAAAGTCTATAAAGTTGAGGTAGAGGTTTGATCGCCATTCCATGCTTTGTTCGATGATGATGCGTAGAGTTGCAATTCGGTCAGTACATGATTCGCCTTTCCTGAATCCAGCTTGTTCTGGTCGGAGTTCTGTTTCCAGTGCGTCTTTTAATCTCTCCAGGTTGATGCGACTCAGGATTTTACTTGGCGTCGAAAGGAGCATGATTCCTCGCCAGTTCTTGCAGAGTCCTAAGTCGCCCTTCTTTGGTAGTTCCACGAGGACATTTATGATAACCAAAACTAATTTTTAAAAATTAATTGTCAGCAATTATTTTTTTCAATCTGATGTGACGATTGAAGGTGAAATGAGCGGCATATAGGTCACAGTGGGATTCGGATTGGCACTGTCCAAATTACTAGTCTGGCACTGTAGCAGTGTTGAGCTAAGAGACGTTACCGCTGATTAGATCGTCGTGGAGCTATAGTTTAACGGTTTAAGTACTTGACTGGCCTGATAAAAAGGGAGCGTTGGACATGGGCTAACAACCCTACACCACAAAAGCTACCAAATTGCTGGAGAAACTTCAATGCACAAGAAAAATATTAAACATACAAAAAAATGTAAACAACAAACTTATTCTTCGCTGGAATCAGAGAATGGGAATGACACAGCGGGTTGGGGAAAACCGGCCTTCAGGGAGCCATTCAGCCAGCTGAGTGAGTGTCTTCTCTCGATGAAAGCAGGAATAAGAATAGGGACACGGGATATTCGTACGATGTACGCAGCTGGCTGGCTGAAAATGCTGCCCTGGTAGCCACAGAAAATGAGAAGATATGTTATTAGAAGTTTTAGGAATCTACGAGATCAGATAGTTTAGGTGTGAACTGTTGAATGCCGTCCGTCCACTATTCCTTCGTTTAGTGCAGACTGCATTTCTTTCTGGTTGATGTTTAGTCTATTTCAAAATGGTCCATGTTTTTGTTTTCATCGATTTTATACATAGAATGCTATTTGTTACAATCATTGCATCGATGAATAATAGTCTATGTGCCTGGGGAATTAGTCATTCGTTATTATTAACTGGATTATTAATCTGTGTGCTATCACTATCCTGGTATTTTTGTCTATTTTGGCATAATTTTTTCACTTTCTCTCTCTCTCTCTCTGTGACGAAAACGCAAATATAGATAGGCACTGAGACTCTCTTTCCCTTTGTTTACCTTCGGGTACATTGCGTACACGCAATATACACCCACACACACACACATCTATACATGATTATTCATCAATCAATATTTCCTGTTTTCCCTTTTTTTTAATATTTAGATACATTTTTTCACAAAGGTCATCTTTTGTTCTTGTGGGTAAAAAGGAAACCTCTATATTCTGTCTGATATACATTTTTTGGCTCTACTTTTGAAAGAAACAGTCATTAGGAGTATTATGTGAGAATGCGTGTTTAACAATAAGACATGGATTACAGGATTTCATCATGAGCTGACATTAGTTAGAGAACCATTGGAAAACCAGCACTGGAGTACTGGACAGCTGTTTCGTCTTATTTCGGGACTTTTCATCAGTACCTACCCACTGCCAGGTTTCGAACCCAGGACCTTCTGGTTACAAGGCCATCAAGCTCGCAGACCAATGGCCAGCCCATGAATTCTAACTTCTGCCGATTCACGCACAACATAGGACGAACACTTCGCAATGACTTCTTCGGGGAGTTACTTTTTCACCTTCCACCTGCCCTACCCTACGTGTGTACATGGCTTCCCACTAGAATCCCAGGTTACTATTTACCTGAATAGGGCCAGTCGCTAGTGAGCATCAGAACCAGGTTTTCCAATGGTTCTCTAACTTATGTCAGCTCATGATGAAACTCTCCAACCAATTAAACACAATCCCTACAGAAATTGAAAATTAAGCATACTTGTTGAGCAATAGGTCCTTGATTGGTTCGTACCTCGCCAAAGTTTTTTGTTGCTAATTCTTTCAGTATGAAATCAGCGAAGATGGCAGTTGTTGATAAAAGTCTACAGTAACCGGTTGGGAATGTTTCTCGTGACACATGAGCCAGATATTTTTTGCAGAGTAGACTGAATTTCTGTCGGCTATTTTTGTGGTAGAAAGCTGAACTAGCTAACTAACGAATATGTTGTCCGGTATCACAAAGGGGTTATTTTCATTAAGGAAATGAAGTTGATTGTGAAGGGGTTGTTATTGTTTTGCTATTATTCCTATTGTATTGTTACAACTCAATTCTGCACCGAACAGACTTTACATATGTGCTATGATGGAGTGCTACTTGGTTATAGGCGTGTTTAACGTGACTAGAACGTGCTTGCAGAACACAACCCTATAATCAGCTGACTACTTGAAATTATCTCCCACACTGAGATAGGCACAAAAACGTCAGATTGGAG